AAGGACACCAGAAACAAAATTGTAAACCTGCACCAGGCTGGGAAGACTGAATCTGCAATAGGTAAGCAGCTTGGTTTGAAGAAATCAACAGTGGGAGCAATTATTAGGAAATGGAAGACATACAAGACCACTGATAATCTCCCTCGATGTGGGGCTCCACGCAAGATCTCACCCCGTGGGGTCAAAATGATCACAAGAACGGTGAGCAAAAATCCCAGAACCACACGGGGGGACCTAGTGAATGACCTGCAGAGAGCTGGGACCAAAGTAACAAAGCCTACCATCAGTAACACACTACGCCGCCAGGGACTCAAATCCTGCAGTGCCAGACGTGTCCCCCTGCTTAAGCCAGTACATGTCCAGGCCCGTCTGAAGTTTGCTAGAGTGCATTTGGATGATCCAGAAGAGGATTGGGAGAATGTCAGATGAAACCAAAATATAACTTTTTGGTAAAAACTCAACTCGTCGTGTTTGGAGGACAAAGAATGCTGAGTTGCATCCAAAGAACACCATACCTACTGTGAAGCATGGGGGTGGAAACATCATGCTTTGGGGCTGTTTTTCTGCAAAGGGACCAGGACGACTGAGCCGTGTAAAGGAAAGAATGAATGGGGCCATGTATCGTGAGATTTTGAGTGAAAACCTCCTTCCATCAGCAAGGGCATTGAAGATGAAACGTGGCTGGGTCTTTCAGCATGACAATGATCCCAAACACACCGCCCGGGCAACGAAGGAGTGGCTTCGTAAGAAGCATTTCAAGGTCCTGGAGTGGCCTAGCCAGTCTCCAGATCTCAACCCCATAGAAAATCTTTGGAGGGAGTTGAAAGTCTGTGTTGCCCAGCGACAGCCCCAAAACATCACTGCTCTAGAGGAGATCTGCATGGAGGAATGGGCCAAAATACCAGCAACAGTGTGTGAAGACCTTGTGAAGACTTACAGAAAACGTTTGACCTGTGTCATTGCCAACAAAGGGTATACAACAAAGTATTGAGAAACTTTTGTTATTGACCAAATACTTATTTTCCACCATAATTTGCAAATAAATTCATTAAAAATCCTACAATGTGATTTTCTGGATTTTTATTTCTCATTTTGTCTGTCATAGTTGACGTGTACCTATGATGAAAATTACAGGCCTCTCTCATCTTTTTAAGTGGGAGAACATGCACAATTGGTGGCTGACTAAATACTTTTTTCCCCCAATGTATGTAAACTTCTGACCCACTGGAATTGTGATACAGTGAATTATAAGTGAAATAATCTGTCTGTAAACAATTGTTGGAACAATTACTTGTGTCATGCACAAAGTAGATGTCCTAACCGACTTGCCAAAACTATAGTTTGTTAACAAGACATTTGTGGAGTGGTTGAAAAATGAGTTTTAATGACTCCAACCTAAGTGTATGTAAACTTCTGACTTTAACTGTATCTCTGCTGGCCACCCTCTTCGGATTTCTACACACCATATACCTTTGAACTATGCTGTGATGTTTAACATACAATTTCAATCTATCTAATCGAATAAAATCCACAGCTTGCGATTTTTGAAGATAATTACTTTTTCTAAGAGTATTAGTATATTAGTACTATTTCTAGGGTCAGTTTTAGATCGATGTTATGCATTTTCTTGCCATTCCTGAACCTGAGACCAGAAACGGGCTACCTACTGATTCTGTATCCTCACAACAAAATCTGCAGAGCTTTGATGATTGTATGCTCCAAATATTCAACATTTTGTTGAATTATATATAATATTTCTAGCTGAAAAGCACAAAGTCTCATACCATGGAATTGGTACATCAAACATTTTGCAATCTGTATGGCACAGCTGTCAACATCCTGGTCCTCAAATGAAACTGGTAAACTTTCCTATTTATGCTATGTTTATTCCTCCGCCAGTTTTGATCCTTTATATTGGGCAGACAGACCGGTTCCCTGCCTCCTCCCTTGATCCTTTATATTGGGCAGACAGACCAGTTCCCTACCTCCTCCCTTGATCCTTTATATTGGGCAGACAGACCGGTTCCCTGCCTCCTCCCTTGATCCTTTATATTGGGCAGACAGACCAGTTCCCTACCTCCTCCCTTGATCCTTTATATTGGGCAGACAGACCAGTTCCCTACCTCCTCCCTTGATCCTTTATATTGGGCAGACAGACCAGTTCCCTACCTCCTCCCGCTGCCACCTGCCTCCTCCATTTTTGGGGTAATGCTGTCATCAATTGGTTGTAATCTTGGATTGAGAAGACCTTCCCATACAATTATGATAACTCCATGAAAGACACAACTCTACCATTCCAATATACAATATAATTTAAAAACAAAAATGCCCTTTTCAAATAGCGAATGGAGGCTGCACGTTTTCCCGCCTGTCCGTTTCGAAGGCTACTTCGGTTTTATAGCGGAGCATGTGCTTAATATGAGCAGCTGAGAAATAAATATAGGAACACTTATTTCCCTCTACGCATTAACCACTGTTTGAGGAGCACGCTCTCGCTACCCGACAGGTGATATTCCGCCCCAAACTCTGTGCCATGGGCTCCCCAACCCTGTTCCTGCAGCTACCCAGTACTCTGTGTGCCATGGGCTCTCCAACCCTGTTCCTGCAGCTACCCAGTACTCTGTGTGCCATGGGCTCCCCAACCCTGTTCCTCCAGCTACCCAGTACTCTGTGTGCCATGGGCTCTCCAACCCTGTTCCCCCAGCTACCCAGTACTCTGTGTGCCATGGGCTCTCCAACCCTGTTCCTGCAGCTACCCAGTACTCTGTGTGCCATGGGCTCTCCAACCCTGTTCCTCCAGCTACCCAGTACTCTGTGTGCCATGGGCTCTCCAACCCTGTTCCTCCAGCTACCCAGTACTCTGTGTGCCATGGGCTCTCCAACCCTGTTCCTCCAGCTACCCAGTACTCTGTGTGCCATGGGCTCTCCAACCCTGTTCCTCCAGCTACCCAGTACTCTGTATGCCATGGGCTCCCCAACCCTGTTCCTCCAGCTACCCAGTACTCTGTATGCCATGGGCTCCCCAACCCTGTTCCTCCAGCTACCCAGTACTCTGTGTGCCATGGGCTCTCCAACCCTGTTCCTCCAGCTACCCAGTACTCTGTGTGCCATGGGCTCCCCAACCCTGTTCCTGCAGCTACCCAGTGGTTAATTTGGGAAACCAAGTGAAATATGTTTGGGAACATTTGATAGTAACATGTTTTCACAACGAAACATATTTCACTAAACTGTTGACAGCCCGTCTCTCTGCGCGCTGGAGAAAGGAATAAAGGAGAGAGAGGAGGAGATGGAATCGCACGGTGGTGAGAGATTCTGTATAGCTGAATAGATGTGTCACGCAATGAATTATGAAGATATAAACAATTCCCTATTACTAGGCTATTCAAAATCGCCCTGCACAATCAATGAACCAACTGCATCAACTAGGGCTATAAGTTCTCTCCCAGACTCATGGATAGACATTTTGGAGCGTAGCACAAGGTAACCAGTCCATCCAGTATGTATAATAATACAGTCCACACTCATAGGCATTACTCTAATTTGTTTAATTGTGGAGTATAGGCTAGACTAAATATGTACCAAAGACATCTGTTTTTATGTTTTTCCTTCCATGCATAATATGTGGTAGGCTATGTATTGTATAACGGCACAATCGTTATTTTAATTCAGGTATTTTTTCGGGCTTGGGCTCGTAAGCCTATGAAAATGCATAAGCTCTATGTGTATGCGTAGGGCTGTTTTTTAATGAATCATCACCTTAGAAAGCGCTGTCCATTTCGTTGTGTTAGGCTTTGAAACAACAACCGTGTTTTCCACTCAGTTTCAACTTGTTGAACTTCTTTGTTCAAATTGATTATCACAGTGACGTGAGTTTTAAAAGTACGATAGGCCTAATGTTTTGATAAGTGTTTTGATGTGATTTTCGATATCATTTGCATTGATTTCAGAGTGGTTAGAGGGACAATAGAGCCCTGAGTACCAGGCCATTAGGACCTGATGGTTAGAGGGACAATAGAGCCCTGAGTACCAGGCCATTAGGACCTGATGGTTAGAGGGACAATAGAGCCCTGAGTACCAGGCCATTAGGACCTGATGGTTAGAGGGACAATAGAGCCCTGAGTACCAGGCCATTAGGACCTGATGGTTAGAGGGACAATAGAGCCCTGAGTACCAGGCCATTAGGACCTGATGGTTAGAGGGACAATAGAGCCCTGAGTACCAGGCCATTAGGACCTGATGGTTAGAGGGACAATAGAGCCCTGAGTACCAGGCCATTAGGACCTGATGGTTAGAGGGACAATAGAGCCCTGAGTACCAGGCCATTAGGACCTGAGGGTTAGAGGGACAATAGAGCCCTGAGTACCAGGCCATTAGGACCTGATGGTTAGAGGGACAATAGAGCCCTGAGTACCAGGCCATTAGGACCTGGTGGTTAGAGGGACAATAGAGCCCTGAGTACCAGGCCATTAGGACCTGATGGTTAGAGGGACAATAGAGCCCTGAGTACCAGGCCATTAGGACCTGATGGTTAGAGGGACAATAGAGCCCTGAGTACCAGGCCATTAGGACCTGATGGTTAGAGGGACAATAGAGCCCTGAGTACCAGGCCATTAGGACCTGATGTTTGTTAGCCAACTGGGTACTACTAATGCATGTCCAGAGGCATAAAAGGAGGTTACCATGACTCAACGGTCACATGGAATTTGACTGCGGTCACGACTCGTGACTGTCTGGTGTGGCGGTAATACGGTCACCGCAACAGCCCTATGTACAACACAGTTTTGTGAAAAAAGCTTTGACCACTAACTGGCTGTTTGGCTAATGACCATTATCTGCAGTTCTACCTCAGTTCACTGAGTGATCGGAGGTCGTGAACCCATAACCTTGGTGTTGATAGCACCACTCTCTGACACACTGCTGTTTCCCTTCAGTTCCATGCCATGGTGCTGTCCTGCAAGCCCCGGTTCGTGGTGGGTCTGGTGGGGTGTAACCCGTCGCAGCACCTGTCAGTGTTGACCCAGCAGCTGCACTATAGCCTGGCCAACAGCACCCTGCTACAGCCCCTCTCCCGGGGATCCATGCTGGCACTGGCCCTCATCACCCTGGAGCTGGAGAATATCTGCCCTGACTGGCTGGCTCTCACCATCCTCCTGCTCAGGAAAGCACAGGTACTAAACTTTCACTATCCTCCTGCTCAGGAAACGGGTACTAAACTTTCACTATCCTCCTGCTCAGGAAACGGGTACTAAACTTTCACTATCCTCCTGCTCAGGAAATGGGTACTAAACTTTCACTATCCTCCTGCTCAGGAACAGGGTACTAAACTCCACTACCCCTGCTTAGCGAAAGCACGGCTAACCTCTCCCGGGTCAGCGGCACTGCCCTATCCCCGGGCTAGGAAACTGGGACTGGACTCTCACCTATCCTCCTGCTCAGGAAAGCACAGGTACTAAACTTTCACTATCCTCCTGCTCAGGAAACAGGTACTAAACGTTCACTGTCCTCCTGCTCAGGAAACAGGTACTAAACGTTCACTGTCCTCCTGCTCAGGAAACGGGTACTAAACTTCACTATCCTCCTGCTCAGGAAATGGGTACTAAACTCTCACTATCCTCCTGCTCAGGAAGCACAGGTACTAAACTCTCAATCCTCCTGCTCAGGAAACAGGTACTAAACTTCACTGTCCTCCTGCTCAGGAAACGGGTACTAAACTTCACTGTCCTCCTGCTCAGGAAAGCACCGGAAGGCCTGCAGTACAGTATGTTGGCATGTTTAGATAGGGGGCAGTGAGGCAGTGAGGGCTTCTACCTACAGTCCAATCTGACCCACTGCCTATCTAGGTGATTCCACACCAGGGGAGTGCAAAATTAGTTTTGGTATCTCAGATTGTTCTGGAAATTCTCACATAGGAACTTCATTGGGAGGAAGGATGTTTATCAAAAGAGGACCATCGCGCTCTCCCAGAAGTTTGACTGGTGTGTAAAACCCATGAAATCGGATAAAAGGGTATGATGGGTCCGCACTCGCAAAGCTTCCTTCATCTTTCACTTGTTTTCTTCTTTTCACGGCATCAGGGATCGCGTGCAGACGTTTCAGCCTATCAGTGTGTAGGTACAAATCTTTTTCATTCAGAACAGCATTCGGAGGGAACACAGGGGAGCGACCGATGGGCAGCAGCTGCTTCTCATCAGGGTTGTCACTGTAAAAATGTATGCACGCATGACCGTAAGGAATCAGCCCAGAACTACACGGGAGGATCCTGTGAATGATCTCAAGGCAGCTGGGACCATAGTCACCAAGAAAACAATTGGTAACACACTACGCCGTGAAGGACTGAAATCCTGCAGCGCCCGCACGGTCCCCCTGCTCAAGAAAGCACATATACAGGGCCGTCTGAAGTTTGCCAATGAACATCTGAATGATTCAGAGGAGAACTGGGTGAAATTGTTGTGGTCAGATGAGACCAAAATGGAGCTCTTTGGCATCAACTCAACTCGCCGTGTTTGGAGGAGGAGGAATGCTGCCTATGACCCCAAGAACACCATCCCCACCGTCAAATATGGAGGTGGAAACATTATGCTTTGGGGGTGTTTTTCTGCTAAGGGGACAGGACAACTTCACCGCATCAAAGGGACGATGGACGGGGCCATGATCCGTCAAATTTTGGGTGAGAACCTCCTTCCCTCAGCCAGGGCATTGAAAATGGGTCGTGGATGGGTATTCCAGCATGACAATGACCCAAAACACACGGCCAAGGCAACAAAGGAGTGGCTCAAGAAGAAGCACATTAAGGTCATGGAGTGGCCTAGCCAGTCTCCAGACCTTAATCCCATAGAAAATCTGTGGAGGGAGCTCAAGGTTCAAGTTGCCAAACGTCAGGCTCGAAACCTTAATGACTTGGATAAGATCTGCAAAGAGGAGTGGAACAAAATCCCTCCTGAGATGTGTGCAAACCTGGTGGCCAACTACAAGAAACGTCTGACCTCTATGATTGCCAACAAGGGTTTTGCCACCAAGTACTAAGTCATGTTTGGCAGAGGGGTCAAATACTTATTTCCCTCATTAAAATGCAAATCAATTTATAACATTTTTGACATGCATTTTTCTGGATTTTTTTGTTGTTATTCTGTCTCTCACTGTTCAATTAAACCTACCATTAAAATTATAGACTGATCATGTCTTTGTCAGTGGGCAAACGTACAAAATCAGCAGGGGATCAAATACTTTTTTCCCTCACTGTATGTGCCAGGCGCACCGGTTTGAGTGTGTCAAGAACTGCAATGCTTCTGGGTTTTCACGCTGAATAATTACCCTTGTCTATCAAGAATGGTCCACCACCCAAAGGATATCTAGCCAACTTGACACAACTGTGGGAAGCATTGGAGTCAACATGGGCCAGCATCCCTGTGGAGCGCTTTCGACGCCTGGTAGAGTCCATGCCCCGACGAATTGAGGCTGTTCTGAGGGCAAAAGGGGGTGCAAGTCAATATTAGGACAGTGTTCCTAATGTTTTGTCCACTCAGTAGGTCTAAAATGGCCAGAAATTGCCACTTTCATCATGATTTTCTCAAAAATTGTTTGTGATACGAATGTAAAAAGAATGTCAAACATCCTTCCTCCCAATGAAGTTCCTATGCGGGAATTGTCAGAACATTCTGAGATGCCAAAAATATTTTCTGCTGTCATGGAATAACCCCAATCTCTCTTTCTCTTACCACCTGTTCAATAGAATCAGAACAAAAAGTTTAGGGATGTTTTACATGATGTTGTAGTCCCTCCCACGTATTTTAATCACGCTTAAAAAAAAAATAAAATGTCAGTGGTATTTTCAGGATGCCTCTGGGAACCGTTGCTGTCCATTGGATGCATAATATAGTCAGCCTGTGTGTTGACTCATTTTACATTTACATTTTAGTCATTTAGCAGACGCTCTTATCCAGAGCGACTTACAGTTAGTGAGTGCATACATTTAAAAAAAAAAAAAAATTATACTGGCCCCCCGTGGGAATCGAACCCACAACCCAGGCATTGCAAACACCATGCTCTATCAACTGAGCTACATCCCTGCCGGCAATTCCCTCCCCTACCCTGGACGACGCTGGGCCAATTGTGCGCCGCCCCATGGGTCTCCCGGTCGCGGCCGGCTGCGACAGAGCCTGGATTCGAACCAGGATCTCTAGTGGCACAGTTAGCACTGCGATGCAGTGCCTTAGACCACTGCGCCACTCAGGTCAGACTCTAACCACGTTTCCATCCACAGTTCTTATGTGAGTAAAGTCAAACTGTATTTTTTTATTTATTTTTTAAATCACTACAGCTGTGATGGAAACAGGAAGTTTCGGTACAATTTTATAAATGGCGACAGATAATTTGTTCGTTCGACATGGTGGGATCTTTTTGTGTCGGTAAAATTAATTATGTGAAAAATGGCGGTGGAAACGCCTTTATGTGCAAATGTTGATAACCATCATATCGAAGTAATCTTGGAGTCACGTGATGATATGGTGTGTGGTCCTCCCACTACGAGTCGGGAAACCATGCAGTTTATCAGGCTACAGATGAAATAACTTCTGAGGAACTTCACAGGGTGGTGAAAGTGCACGATGATGAGTTTCATTCTCCTTTCCCAATACATGTTGAGGGTCTTATTCTGGTGACATGATGATCGATGCTTGGCTGCCGTTTTGACAAATAGAAATATTCACACTCTTATCCATAATAATGATTGTGAATGCGCATATTTTCTTGTGGATTTTAGAATATTTGCATGAAAATCTGTCGCCAATTGGATGGAAACCTAGCTAATAACATTATGATCAAGACTCGTTTATCTCCCCCTCCTAGATCGACAGTTCTCAGCTGATCCGCTGTCGAGAGCTGGTGTCACGTCACCTGTCCACACAGGAAGCTTCCCTGCCTCCCAACACTGTGTACATCTACCAGCCCCTGGATCCGGACCCCTGCAACCCGAGAAGAGAGTTCAACACCAGGCTCCCCTCCCCATCCACGGCCCCCAGGGACAGGAGCCTCTCCTGGGTCTCCTCTACCGCTACCAGCCTGCTCCGGGTCCACGGGCCACCCAAGCCAAGCCACCACTCCCACCAAGTCCACCTGCGCTGCAAGCACTCAGCCAAGCGCAAGGTGAGAGCTTGGCTGCTTCATCAACCGGAGTAAAGTATTTTAACACCTACCTAGCTACTGTGCATTCGGAAAGTATTCAGACCCCTTGACCTTTTCCACATTTTGTTACGTTACAGACTTATTCTAAAATTGATTAAATAGTTTTCCCCCCCCCCCCTCATCAATCTACACACAATACCCCATAATGACAAAGCAAAAACCGTTTTTTAGACATTTTTGCAAATGTATTAAAAATAGAAAACTGAAATCACATTTACATAAGTATTCAGACCCTTTACTCAGTACTTTGTTGAAGCACCTTTGGCAGCGATTACAGCCTCTAATCTTCTTGGGTATGACGCTACAAGCTTGGCACACCTGTATTTGGGGAGTTTCTCCCATTCTTCTCCGCAGATCCTCTCAAGCTCTGTCAGGTTGGATGGGGAGCTTCGCTGCACAGCTATTTTCAGGTCTCTCAAGAGATGTTTGATCGGGTTCAAGTCCGGCCTCTGGCTGGTCCACTCAAGGACATTAAGAGACTTGTCCCGAAGCCACTCCTGCGTTGTCTTGGCTGTGTGATTAGGGTCGTTGTTCTGTTGGAAGGTGAACCTTCGCCCCAGTCTGAGGTCCTGAGTGCTCTGGAGAAGGTTTTCATCAAGGATCTCTCTGTACTTTGCTCCATTCATCTTTCCCTCGATCCTGACTAGTCTCCCAGTCCCTGCTGCTGAAAAACATCCCCACAGCATGATGCTGCCACCACCATGCTTCACCGTAGGGATGGTGCCAGGTTTCCTCCAGACGTGACGCTTGGCATTCAGGCCAAAGAGTTCCATCTTGGTTTCATCAGACCAGAGAATCTTGTTTCTCATGGTCTGAGAGTCCTTAAGGTGCTTTCATGTGCCTTTTTACTGAGGAGTGGCTTCCGTCTGGCCACTCTACCATAAAGGCTTGATTGGAGGAGTGCTGCAGAGATGGTTGTCCTTCTGGAAGGTTCTCCCTTCTCCACAGAGGAACTCTAGAGCCCTGTCAGAGTGACCATTGGGTTCTTGGTCACCTCCCTGACCAAGGCCCTTCTCCCCCGATTGCTCAGTTTGGCCGGGCGGCCAGCTCTAGGAAGTGTCTTGGTGGTTCCACTTCTTCCATTTAAGAATGATGGAGGCCACTGTGTTCTTGGGGACCTTCAATGCTTCCCCAGCTCTGTGCCTCGACACAATCCTGTCTCAGAGCTCTACAGACAATTCCTTCGACCTCATGGCTTGGTTTTGGTTCTGACATGCACTGTCAACTGTGGGACCTTATATAGACAGGTGTGTGCCTTTCCAAATCATGTCCAATCAATTGAATTTACCACAGGTGGACTCCAATCAAGTTGTAGAAACATCTCAAGGATTATCAATGGAAACAGGATGCACCTGAGCTCAATTTCGAGTCTCATAGCAAAGGGTCTGAATACTTATGTAAAATAAGGTATTTGTTTATTTTTGATAAATTTGCTGAAGTTTTTAAAAACCTGTTTTTGCTTTGTCATTATGGGGTATTGTGTGTAGATTGATGAGGAATGTTTTATTCAATCTATTTTAGAATAAGGCTGTAACGTAACAAAATGTGGAAAAAGTCAAAGGGTCTGAATACTTTCTGAATGCACTGTATACTATTGCCTTGATTATGAAAGCATTTTGTTTTTATGGTATTATGTTTTTGTAGTAGAGCTTTTGAGATGACTATGAAAAACTATATACAAATTTAAATGTATAATTATAAACGATATAATGTATTATATCATTATGTAATTATAAATATTATTATTAAGGTGGAGGAGATGGAGGTCGACGAATTCTACGAGGGGATCAAACGCCTCTACAACGAAGAGAGCGGGGGCGCTCCAGAAAGGACGGCGGTAACGGGGGAGGGGCCTCTAGGGGAGAGTAGTGTCCAGTTGGTCACCTCCCCCTGCCCCCCTCTCCAACCCGTCAGTGTCACATAGATAAGAGAAAGAAACCAAGGCCTTCTCTTTTATCTGAGGTGGAAGGAAAATAAGTCTCAGTATTAAATCCGTCATGGCAATAATCCACCATCCCCAGGTCTCGATTGAGCCCACAAAAAAAGATGCTGCTATTTCATAACTATTTGTTGAGCACAAATATAAAAAGGATTAAAAAAAAGATATAATATAATGATATAAATAAAAAAATAAAAATCTTGTCCTTAAAAAGGTCAAATGACTTCTTCTCCCAGTGAGTCTTTCTGTGATGATATTTCTCTAATGTAAGGTCGTGTGTCATCTTATTTCTGTTGTTGACCCTAACTAATCTTTCCGTTTCAATCAGTATATTCATTTTCTTTATCTTTTTTCCTAAACAAATCATTCTCAGCATGTTGTCTTTAACCCATAACAAAACATGTCACTTTAGAGTTTGATTGACTGTAAAGTGTGTGTATAACTATGTTAACCTGAAGTACTGAATGTTTTTTTTTTTTTTTAAAGATTTTATTTAGTCAATAATCTAAATATCCCCTCCACAACCTTCCTGTCTTTGTCCAATCACAGTGTGGTGTAGTAGTTTAACCAAAGACTGGACATTACAAGCATTAGTGAATCAGTTTACTCAATGAAGCAATATGTGTTTAAGATAAACAGCTTTGTTAAAAGGGTTGAGTCCCAAATGTCACCCTATTCCCTACATAGTGCACTACTTTTGACCAGAGCCCTATGGGGAATAGGGTGACATTTCGGATGCCTGATGCAACCAAGAAGAGGGGATGAAGATGTAGCTACCATAATACACCTTATCTTTGCTGTTCAGAAACGACATGCTGTTTTTTTGTTTTTGTTTTTTTGCCAAAAGGCTCTCTTGCTCTGGGGTGCTGGTAACTGCCTATGTACTGCTGACAACTTGTGGCACCAATAAAAATAAAAATAAATAAAAAGTGAAATAATCTGTCTTTATCATTGTTACTGTGTATCCAAAGTGGCTTCATTGTGTCATTCCGCATATTGCTGGACATACAATGTGCGTTAACTTCATTGACTACATTCAGAGCCTTTGGCAACAGCCGGAGCGTTTTAAAATGGTGGGAGGCAACGCGGATTCTAGACAGACTAAGTTAATGTGCTCCATTGGTAGATCATGGCGCTTGCAACGCCAGGATAGCCTACAGTTTGAGATAAGATTCCTGCAATGAAAGGATTTAGGGCTGACTGCAAAGAGCATGCGACCAGCCAACAAAGGCCGTAGGCTATTATTTTAACCTTCCCGTTGTCCTAGGGTCAAAATGACCCGCCACTGTGTTGAACCAACTTTATTTAATTTTTATATTTTTTGGATCATTTGTGAGAAGGAGGCAGTGATATAAAGTATCACTGCCTCCTTCTCACAAATGATCCAAAAAATATAAAAATTAAATAAAGTTGGTTCAACACAGTGGCGGGTCATTTTGACCCTAGGAGGGTTAAACGTTTTCCACGTTTCTAAATGGAAACGTAGCATTATGGTAGGTAGGATATTTATGTGACCGCATTTCTTGCGCAATTCTTCCGGTGTGGTGATACTGATGGTTTGTCGGAACTGGTGTTTTGTTTACACAGCAGGTTAGAACAATTAACGTGGACGGTTAAGAGGACTAATGTGGCAGGTTAGGAGACGTGAGGTTAAGGTTAGCCGTAGCTAAAACGCTTCAGTTGTTAACAACTCTTATCCCCGACGCGACAACTAGATGGAGCTGTAATCGTACAAACCACCAGCAGTACGACATCTGCACGTTGCATAGAGCTCAGGGGTTTATTAGGCCGATTTTTTGCAAAACGTTTCTTAAACGGAAGCAAACGAAACGGGGAGGGACATACCTGAATGTGTCCAATATAAACGGGTTCTTAAACTGTAAACGGTTTCTGTAATGAATTACACCATTTAAGAACCAAACGAAGCACACCAGGGGTGTATTCATTACGGAAACTGTTTACCGTTGAAGAACCAAAGGAAGCAAACTAAACGGAGAGGGGGCCTACCTGAATTACTCAAAAAATACTATTGTTTTCCGTTTGGAGTAGGCTTAACGGTTTCTGTTGCAAAACGTAAACGTTTACAGTCTAAGAACCAAACGGAAGCAAACCGATAATTTCTTTTGGACAAATTCAGGTAGGTCCCGCCCCGTTTCGTTCCGTTTGCTTCCGTTTAAGAAACGTTTTGCAACAGAATCGGCGTAATGAATACGCCCCAGGTATGCAGGTGGAGATAATTGTTGTTGGCGCAGAAAAAAAACATCTGACACTCCATCGGACTTGGCGCAAACAGACGGAATGGCCACCGAATTTACTCAGGATTCAGTGCTGTACTTTCTCCAGTGCAGCGGTGGGAGAGTGAAGAACTCCGAATTGTTGGCGCACTTCAGAGCGTTTATAAAGGACCACGAGAACCAGACACACAACCGGGAACTGTTTAAAAAGTTTGTTAACTCCGTGGCTGCGGTGAAACTGGAGGAGGGAGTTTCACACGTTGTATTGAGGAAGACATTTCTGGGGCATGTTGCTGGAGGAGACATCCCCGCCGGATCCCACTCGGCAAAACCCCCCGCCGGACAACAACCTGCGAGACCGAGAGAGAGAGACCGCTCGCCGAGAGATCCGGTAAACAGAAACCAGGAGAGAGGTCAGAAGGGATTGATCGAGACGCACTTGCACGTCACACAGAAATTCCGCGTTCCACCTGGCAACACAATCCAACTCACAGAAAATATATTGGCCTCGGGTGAAATTGTAAACAACAATGTGGAAAGTACAATCAACTTCGAAAAGCCTATCCAAAGCTTCTCGGCATATGTGCCAGACCATGTGCCACCTTCGGCATCCAACAACAGAGAAGCACCATTCCTCCCATCTTACAATGCAGCAATGTCAAAGGGGTCAGAAGATGGGAGTGGTCAGAGCTTGGAAGCAGAGTGGGATAAAGAACCCGTGATTCTCACTCTTTCAGTCCCAGAACTGAATCACACAGGCGGTTACACACTTGGCAAGCGGTCAATAGAACCAAAGAGGAAGAGGTCCTATCCGCCCCCTGAGTTCCTATACACAGAGGTGAAACCTCCGGCACCTCAGCCTCACCTAGCACAGGTGCAACAGAATACAGCACAGACACAGAGGAAGACATCTACAGCATGGCCACTGCTCACCACTCTAGACCATGCCAGCTCCTCTCCTTGTATAGCTGATGGTCACAGTCCTCCTGCTGCTTCTCCACGCGTTCCCCTTCCCCCTGACCCCCAGGTGACGAGGAGCAACGGCAACCTGGACGGCAGCCTCCACATCCCACAGCAGCCCAGAACAAAACAAGATGGACTTCCAGCAGCTCCACTGCACGTTACACCTGCCCCTCAGCTGATGCGGAGCGATGGCGGCCTCCGCCGTAGGATCCCACAGCAGCCCAGACCAGTCCCTGACCCAGTCCCTATCCCTGACGTTCACACCCAGTATCCAGAGGAGAGTGGAGCTGCTGTCCCCCAGTCCAGGGTCAAGCCCCAGCCTCCCCAATGCAGCCTACCCCTGGACTCAGCCCACCAGTACCACACTCCCACCGCAGCTAACGGTGGGTCTTCTGGTTACCCAGAGCATTACCACCACCAGGCCAGCTCCGGCCTCTCCTCCCGTCACAGCAGCCTCCTCCTTTCCCCGTCACTGGACTCCGGGGATGAGTGGCCCAAGGGTTCCCTTGGAGATGAGTGGGTCAGCTATGAAGCCCTCAACAACCAGGTTCTGTCGGGTGAGCAGCAGGGGGTCAGACTGCTCTCCCAGATGCCCAGCGCTGAGAAGCGAGCCCCCTGCCCTCACTATATCTCCACCGGTTACCTTGACAATGACGAGACGGACAGAGCATCGTCATGGCGACATTCCACAGGTTATCTCCATGACGATGACGGGTCAGAGTCCAACGAATCCATCTCTCTTCCTGGTTCGGCCCCCGAGCCCTTTATCCGACCCACTGTCCAGCGAATCGGCAGCCGGCCCCGCGGCCGCATGTGTCGCAGTCTCGGAGCCGACCTGGACCGACTGTTTCCGGAGGACGGCGTCTCGGCACGGCACAACCGCCTCCACCTCCTCTCCTCCAACCTCAGCATCAGCCACTCCTTCTCCACCCCCACCTCACGCACACCCAGCTACAGAGACCTGAGGGGGGAGATGCGATCCGGGGCCTCCAGTAACAAGAGCCTAAGTGGGCATGACAGCTCCTACTTCCACCGGCAGAACCTGGTCCCCCTGGAGCCTAAGGAGCATGACTGGCTGGTGAAGGGCGCCGCTGGAACCTGGGCCGACATTTACACCCTGTTCAGAGATGAACCCAGCCTCCTCACCAAGAGAGACTTCATCACTGGTTACACCATCCTGCACTGGATCGCTAAACATGGAGACCACCGGGTCCTCAACACACTCTGGTACGGAGTCAACAAAGCCGGGTTGAAACTGGACGTGGATGCGACGACCACCTGTGGCTACACGCCTCTTCACCTGGCCGCCATCCACGGGAACAACAAGATGATCCGGCTTCTGGTTCATAAGTTCAGGGCCAACGTGGCCCTCAGGGACACTAGTGGTAAGAAGGCCTGGCAGTATCTGGGCCAGACTGGCCCCGGGGACCTCCTAGAGATGCTGGGGGCCCCTCACTGCTGGACCTCCACCGGGGGTAGCTCCACACTCCAGTCCTCAGGAGAGAGACCCCCAAGGCCAGCGACGTCCTCGGGCTCAGCCGCGGTGAAGAGGTCCACGTCTATAGCAGCGTTCCTGAATAAGACTCTAATGAAGTTCCCAGGACGGGAAGGTTCGCAGTCACCCGACTCCTTTCTGTGAGAATAGTGTGGCGTTTAGGGCGTCTGTCCCGCTCTGACCATCCTTATAATAGCTCAAGCCTCTTGCTAACTAGGTTGTGTGGGGGGCTTGACAACTTTGATTTGCCACTTAAACTCGGATTTGCTTTCTTTGTTAATTCCAAATGTTAATCCATTCATTTTTTTAAAGCGAATACCAAATAATTAATTAAGAGGGTAGGGATTGAGCTGTCTAAATTAACTAATTATGAATGGATATGACAGACATGGAGTTAACTAACTGTATCACTTGTGAAAACAAAAGCAATAGAATCTGTTGTGAGTTCGGCGTTATAAAGAGATTGGATTATATTATGATATTTCAGTATAGTTGCTTTGCAATTATATGTATTGTGGTGAGAAGCTTTTGTTTGTTTGCTACTGAGGAAATGGCTTCGATTCTAGTGTTTGTTTTTGAATTACCAGAGAAGAACCTTTTCAAAATGCCTTCTCTCCAACGAAAGTGTATTGCCAGTTAAGTGCTTCAGCAGTTTCAGGTTTCAAGTGGTTACCTGACATTGGAATGTGGTGGTGAGTAATGTTGTTTTGTTTGTTCAAAGGCCTGTCAGAGTAGCAATGTATATTATATCATCTGAGCTGACTGGACTAAAGGAAAGGAATCCCTCCCTTGCACCAGGTTGAATATTTGTAAGTCGCTCTGGATAAGAGCGTCTGCTAAATGACTTAAATGTAAATGAATATAATGCACATTGTTCACTAGTTTAAGTCCCCAAAGGTTGTGTGGTTTTATAAGGTCCATTCACCATTTTGCTTTATTATTTTGACTTGTTAATATCGACACCCAAAAAGTTGACTCACATAAACTGTTCTCTCTCCATGTGCACTCATGTTTCCAGATGCATCATGCCCTGAAGTACTAAAACAATCCAAACTGGTATTCATTTGTCACTCTAAAGCCATTTCCTTAAAGACCCAGTGCAGTCAAAATTCTGTTTTTCCTTTGTTTTGTATACTATTGTACAACAGCTGACGACACTAACACTGTAACATTTATTTTTTATTTTTTATCAGTGTTATTTCCTGATAGTTGCTGGTTGAAAATGCAATACTCCCAGGATCTTCTAATCAGCAGGTCTGCATGGGGCGGGAGTTTCGGCTTTCCATGGTGACATCACCATGTTTTAAATTGGTTAATAGACCAATAACAAGAGTTCCAAACATCTCTGCCAATAACAGCTAGTTTTCAGTTTCCCCCTCCCCACTCAGACCACTCCCAGACAGTCCTAGCAAAAATACTTGCTTGAAAAAGTTTTTTTTAGCTAAAAAGTACTTTTTTCCCCCTTTTTAATGGAAATCTATTACAAATCTGTTATTTGTCACATGCTTCGTAAACAGATGTAGACTAACAGTGAAATGCTTACTTACGGATCCTTTTCCAACAATGCAGTTAAAGATGCATTTAAATAATAAAAAATAAAACAAGTAAAATACAGTAAGGTACTTAATTTTTACCAATACATTATAACACTACATGCCATTTACGGCGCTGGAGGTATGCAAGGGACCAGGGGTGTTCAGTCAGTCATTCCATACCCAGCAGGAGAGGCTTCAGATCGGGGGACACTCTCCCCTCCATACTGGTGCTCTGGATGTCTGCCATGGCGTGGTGCTATCACGGTGGAGAGGTGTCGTCTATGAAAGGCTGTTCTGTGGGAGCTGCAGGGCCAAGCTAGGGCCACTGTGTGGGACTTGATGAGGCATGTCGAGGTAAAAAACGTGTCCTTTCTGTTGCTGTCACGCTGCTTCCAGGACAACGCCTTCCTCGTGCCCCCAAACGGCACCCTATATAGTGCACTACTTTTGACCAGAACCCAGTGGGCAAAAGTAGTGCACTATATAGGGGATAGGGTGCCGTTTGAGCTGCACACCTTACTGGGAGAATGGGTCGGTGAGGGCACATTGGGACTGGCCTCCTTTTAAACTTTTATCTAACTTAAACTTTAAAGTTGACTTATAGAACTTAAACGAAATAGTTTGCCAGGGCACATTAGCACTATCCAAGTAACTATAATACTCTCCAGGTGAGTCAACTTTAATACAGTATGTTTTGTTTTCCTCTGCATGTGTACATGGAATCATCTACATGTTGGGTCTTGTCACTGGAAGGGTGCGTATGGAAGGGTGCCATGTTTTGCAGTTCATTCAAGCTTGCATTTAGTCGGTTGTATAACCTGGAATGTCAAGTTTTGGTTATTCGGTTGTATAACCTGGTGAATGTCAGTTATGTAATATTGTCTTATGTCTGACTACAGCTTTCTCTTTTTTTTATGAATAAAAACATATAATTGTATATTAACTGCTATAGTTGTGAGCATTTCTGACAAAACAAGCATGTCTATTTGAACCGTTTCCTCTCAACCTGGCCGTGTAATGCGAGAATTAGCAGTGGAAGGGTGGTAATGCTCTGACGCTGTCGAGCTATCGTGTAACAACACCCACTGGGTTAGTGTGCTCGCCTGAGGCCAAATAGTTCACTGGGACAGTCATTAGACCAGTAGACAACTTTAAACGATGGTACAAGCGCCATGTTTCAGTGTGACTTGAATGTCCAAGACACATTTCCCCAGTCTGTTTGGCCATGTTTCAGTGTGACTTGAATGTCCAAGACACATTTCCCCAGTCTGTTCGGCCATGTTGGCTGTGTTGTCATGCCAACTCCTTGTCACTCTGTAATGTTTGGGTTGACAAGGAGCAATGGAGTTGGCAAGAGCAGAAACAGATCTGGGACCAGGCTAAAATTTCCCTTCAGTGACAATAAAGTTGATCTAATCTCATCAATAACATTCTAAGATCCAATATGGCTGATGAGTCGAGACGTTGTAGAATAGATCATCAAAGTACAATTGTCGCAAAGACACAAAGGCTCTTTTTAAAAATAGATTTATTTTGTAAACGAGGATCTGACTTCTAATCGGCCTCCCTCTCCTACGCGTCATAAAGCAAGATTAATACATGGAATTTGATTACAGCAACTGTCAAATCTGATAATTCAGTTATGCCACCTGAAGATGCTATGGAGAAAAATATGGATGGCACCGTTATTGGTGAAAATATTCACGAATACGTGCGTGATCCAGTATATTTGACTGAAATTAGGATAATCTGTAAATGCTTAAAAGGTGCTCTCAAAAGGACACAACAATATCAATTGGCATAGTATATTTTTGGGAGGTGAAACAAGCAAGTCACACAGGAGTCAGACGACGTTTAAACAGTAGGCATGTCACACATGAACTGACAGTACCAACCTACAATATTTCAACCTTCTCTATTTTGTACCCAGATATCCTAAGAAGTGCAACCATGGCCCACGAGATAGCTCCACCCACAGTAGGCGTGTACTTACTGGGCAACAATATTCCTACCTACCTCCTAGAAGCCTTGTCATCATGAAGCACACCGCCTTGTATCAGAGGAAAACCATGTGACCAGGAGGTCAGTTAGAAAGCCCACTGTAAACTTGCCTCATTCCATCATCATTTTTTCAGGTTATAAAACACTATCGGTCAAAAGTTTTAGAACACCTACTCATTCAAGGGTATTTCTTTATTTGTACTATTTTCTACATTGTAGAATAATAGTGAAGACATCAAAACTATGAAATAACACATAGGGAATCATGTAGTAACCAAAAAGTGTTAAACAAATCAAAAAATATTTTATATTTGAGATTCTTCAAATAGCCACCCTTTGCCTAAAACATTTGACCGGCAGTGTATATAAAATGTATTTTTAAAAAATCTACATATTAAAAAGCACACACCATATGCACAGCCACTTACATAATACATACACATTTTTTTAATAATATAAATAATTATTGCAGTTGCTGTCAATGTCATGGTAGCTTTTTGTTGTTGTTGTGAGCTATCATTTTTGAGTCTGAAATATAAGTATTTGAAGCAAAATTTGCCTTCGATTGTGGCTATAGATTCATGTGTGTCAGAGCGTGCTATTGTGTTGCTAAAGAAAACAGGCCTATTTCAGTGCTTGTTCCTTCTAACCGTAGGGATAGAATGAGAATCAGAAGTCATTCTAGTTCTGACCATTCTGTGTAATCAGTAGTTAATCTGCCAAATCAAAGTGCTCAGCTGTAGTGATAGACACATGTAAAGGCAGTAGTATGGTAATGAGTTTAACTGAAATATATATATATATATAAATATATATATGGTGAATAAAATGTCTTGACAGGCAGTTTATACACCCACTACCATTACTCTCAAAACGTCAATATGTTCGTACGAATTACACTAGGCACTTCAACTGTGTATTGAATCAACCAAAAGAGTGGCCAGTCAGAAAAAAGGAGATGTGTGGTTAAATAGATAGAAGCACAAGAACGTAACGATCGAAGGTCACCTCTTATAGTCCGTCTGTCTCCAGCAAGGGTGACAGACAGGTGTCATCCTTCACATTAAAAGTCCCTTTCCCTACAGTTCATCTCTACATGGGGAAAGGTGCTGTCTCGGTCTCTTCTTCATAGTCTCATCCGACAGACCCTTTGTGTCCGACAGCGGACGTATTATGTTCCCTGGTAGCGAACTGGAGCATTGTTATTGTTGGGGTGACAGTGGTGTCACAGTGATGTTACAGTGGTGGAGCGGACACCATGGTTAGGACCAAGGTCAGGGCTGGCACCCCTGGGGCCTAACCCTGGGTTAGGGGAGCAAAACTGGGCCTGCTGGTGCCCAGGAGGCCCCTGATGGTCTGACTCCCCGGGAGAGATACTCTCCATCAGCCTGTTGAGCTGCTCGTCCCCTTGCTTGATGAGCTCGTCCAGGTGTCTCTGTCGGATCAGCAGGGCTGGTCCTCATACAGACGTAGTGCTGGTAGTCTCTAAGCTGTGGCCCGGTCAGGTACCCACCCAGGATGTCCAGAACCACACGCTCCCGCCGGTCCAGATTCTCCTTCAGCTCCCTGGCATCCTCATGCTGACTACACAGCTGGCTGCGCTTCTGCTGTAAGGACTCCTGCGTTAACAGAGATATATAGATTATTAAAGACATCCTGGTGCTTCTGCTGTAGACTCCTGAGTTAACAGAGATATATAGATTATTAAAGACATCCTGGTGCTTCTGCTGTAGACTCCTGAGTTAACAGAGATATATAGATTATTAAAGACATCCTGGTGCTTCTGCTGTAGACTCCTGAGTTAACAGAGATATATAGATTATTAAAGACATCCTGGTGCTTCTGCTGTAGACTCCTGAGTTAACAGAGATATATAGATTATTAAAGACATCCTGGTGCTTCTGCTGTAGACTCCTGAGTTAACAGAGATATATAGATTATTAAAAGACATCCTGGTGCTTCTGCTGTAGACTCCTGAGTTAACAGAGATATATAGATTATTAAAGACATCCTGGTGCTTCTGCTGTAGACTCCTGGGTTAACAGAGATATATAGATTATTAAAGACATCCTGGTGCTTCTGCTGTAGACTCCTGAGTTAACAGAGATATATAGATTATTAAAGACATCCTGGTGCTTCTGCTGTAGACTCCTGAGTTAACAGAGATATATAGATTATTAAAGACATCCTGGTGCTTCTGCTGTAGACTCCTGAGTTAACAGAGATATATAGATTATTAAAGACATCCTGGTGCTTCTGCTGTAGACTCCTGGGTTAACAGAGATATATAGATTATTAAAAGACATCCTGGTTCTTCTGCTGTAAGGACGCCTGAGTTAACAGAGATATATAGATTATTAAAGACATCCTGGTGCTTCTGCTGTAGACTCCTGAGTTAACAGAGATATATAGATTATTAAAGACATCCTGGTGCTTCTGCTGTAGACTCCTGAGTTAACAGAGATATATAGATTATTAAAGACATCCTGGTGCTTCTGCTGTAGACTCCTGAGTTAACAGAGATATATAGATTATTAAAGACATCCTGGTGCTTCTGCTGTAGACTCCTGAGTTAACAGAGATATATAGATTATTAAAGACATCCTGGTGCTTCTGCTGTAGACTCCTGAGTTAACAGAGATATATAGATTATTAAAGACATCCTGGTGCTTCTGCTGTAGACTCCTGGGTTAACAGAGATATATAGATTATTAAAGACATCCTGGTTCTTCTGCTGTAAGGACTCCTGCGTTAACAGAGATATATAGATTATTAAAGACATCCTGGTGCTTCTGCTGTAGACTCCTGGGTTAACAGAGATATATAGATTATTAAAGACATCCTGGTTCTTCTGCTGTAGACTCCTGAGTTAACAGAGATATATAGATTATTAAAGACATCCTGGTTCTTCTGCTGTAAGGACTCCTGGAGAGAGAGAACATAGATAGATAGTGAATACAGTCTAAATACAGAGACTCCTGGTTAAAAAGAGGAGATAGGCTTCCTGGTGATGCGTGTCTGTCTGTCTGTCTGTCTCCCTGATCTAAGGGGAGACAGACAGACAGACAGACAGACAGACAGACAGACAGACCAGTGTTATTTAAACCTTTTCAGCAGGGACCCCATTATTTTTTTCCACAAGAATGTCTTGCCACCCCACCACACCCCGAGTCTAATGACGCAACCTTAAAAATTGGTAAATTTAGATTTTTACATTAACAAATAAGGTTAAATTCATTGCATTTTAATCTCTTATCAAAATGAAAAGAAGCCAATAAATGTACTCAATAAAATGAGCTTTTTCAAAAAACGGTTGTATATTGTCTCATACAATAATCTGTGCTTTTCATTTGTTCCCCCCCCCATTTATTATTCTTATTTTTGTGGATTTTGGCGACCTCACTGCAGTTCCCTCGCGACCCCAACTTTGAATACCACTACCTTAGACAGTCTGTTTTGTACATGTGTGTTTGCGCGTAAACTGTCGTCACACAAAGTGCTTCAGCCTCCTGTATCCCACAGTGGGGAGCGACGACTCAGACGGTCTGCTTTCCTACGTGTGTGTGTGTGTGTGTGTGTGTGTGTGTGAGAGAGCAGAAAACACACAGTAGGTGGCTTGTTATACGACTGGGGAAAGCTGGTGGCATCAATATTTTATCTTACTTTTTGTGACCTTAGCATCCACTTTCCCCCCTCAGTCTCTGAACTACACTGAACAAAAATATAAACGCAACATGTAAAGTGTTTGTCCAATGTTTAATGGGCTGAAATAAAAGATCTCAGAAATGTTCCATACGCACAAAAAGCTTATTTTGCTCGAATTTTGTGCACAAATTTGTTCACATCCCTGTTAGTCAGCATTTCTCCTTCGCCAAGATAATCTATCCATCTGACAGGTGTGGCATATCAAGAAGCTGATTAAAAAAGCATGATCATTACACAGGTGCACCTTGTGCTGGGGACAATAAAAGGCCACTCTAAAATGTGCAGTTTTGTCACACAACACAATGCCACAGATGTCTCAAGTTTTGAGGGAGCGTGCAATTGGCATGCTGAATGCAGGAATGGCCACCAGAGCTGTTGCCAGGTCATTGAATGTTTAATTTCTCTACCATAAGCCATCTCCAACGTAGTTTTAGAGAATTTGGCACTACGTCCAACCAGCCTCACAACCGCAGAACATGTGTAACCATGCCAGCCCAGGACCTCCACATCCGGCTTCTTCACCTGCAGGATCAACTGAAACCAGCCACCCGGACAGCTGATGAAATTGAGGAGTATTTCTGTTTGTAATAAAGCCCTTTTATGGGGAAAAATTCATTCTGATTGGCTGGGCCTGGCTCCCCAGTGGGTGGATCCATGCCCATCCATGGCTGCGCCCCTGTCCATTCATTTGAAATCCATAGATGAGGGTCTAATTTATTTATTTCAATTGACCGATTCCCTTATAGGAACTGTAACTCAGTAAAATCTTTGATACTGTTGCATGTTGCGTTTATATTTTTGTTCAGTATATTATTGATAGAGGATTTATAGATGATTAAAGGCATCCTGGTGCAGAGACTCCTGGGGGAGGACATGTGGCCTAAGGATTAGTAAATCAACTACATACACAGACTGTAGTTGTGCAATTACCTGGTACCACCTAGCGGACATAATGAGACACCTTTAGAAAAAATGTTTTGTATTAGAGAGATTTCTAGGACACTGCATTAGCGAGATAGCTAGGACACTGCATTAGCGAGATAGCTAGGACACTGCATTAGCGAGATAGCTAGGACACTGCATTAGCGAGATAGCTAGGACACTGCATTAGCGAGATAGTTAGGACACTGCATTAGCGAGATAGCTAGGATGGATATTTACATGTCAACCATCTTCAGATGTATGTATGTATGTAGACTATAGTGGTGATAGGGTTCTCAGAGAGGAAGAGGCTTAATCTTAATATTTTCTTTTTATTGGCCAGTCTGAGATATTGCTTTTTCTTCTGAACGGAACAGAGCAGGTATTGCCTGTCATTGCTATGGCTCAGGGATCGGAATATAGTATTTTAATCATATTAATGAAATTGTAGCCAAGTCCCATATGTTCCAAAACCGACCAAAGAAATGACCATTCTAGTCTATCAAAAGCTTTTTCTGCGTTGAGAGATAGACCTGCCCAAGGAGCTGTTTCTGATGAAGCATGTAGCAGACGGAGGTTATCTGAGGATAATCGTTTTTTTTAACAAACCCACTTTGGTCCAGATGTACCAATTTGGGTAAGAAAGTTTTGAGACGACAGAATTTTAGAAAATAGTTCAATATGTGTATCAAAGATAGTGGGCGATACTGAAGACACTGGGTGGCGTCCTTACCTTTTTAAAAATAAAAATGAAATTTAGTGCTGTATTTACATCCCTTCCAAATTAGCCTTTGCGAACGGCTGTGTTAATCAAATAGACCTCAGGAGGAATACCGTCACAACTAGGTGTTTTGCCTTTATTAATGTTATCCAATGCCCTTTCGAGTTCACGGAAAGAGATGTGGGCTCCCAGCAAAACCGGCTTCCTCAGTTGAGAGAAGAAGAGTTCTTATATCTTTTAAAAATTACAATCTGGTTTGGGTGTGGATTTACAAACAGAGGTGTGCAATTCTTCATCGAAACGGGAGAATCCTTGGTTCTGATAGTAATTCACCTGATTCGGATTCAATAGTTGTGTCTCTTGCAACATTGCCATGTCAATATGTTTTCTTGCTAGGATATCGAGACAGCTGGAACGTTTAATAGACGAGTTTAGGCCTTTCACATTCCAAGAGAGAATAGGATTGTATCACTTTATACCAGCGCTGTGCCTGTTGTCACACTCGTATCTGCCCTCTCAGTGGCTATAATGGTCCCACCGGATCTTGCCTCCTCCTGACTGCCTTCCATTTATGAAGATATTAATTGTCATTGTTAGAGCGGCCACTAGAGTATCCTGTCAATATAATGGATAATCAGTGGTAACCTAGACTCACAGGACTTGGAGTAAGGTGTAGCCAGATCACTGAGCCAGACCTAGTGGGTTTCCGTTAGCTTCCATAGCCACAAATTCAGATTCCACAGAAAAAAAAATAGGCACATTTGTTTTGCTTTTTGGTCTTCATTTAAGGTTAGGGTTAGGCAAAAGGTTAGCAGTGTGGATAAGGTTAGGGTTACATTTAGGTTTAAAATCACATTTTAAGATACATTCTAGAAATGGCCGGGTTTTAGTCATGATTATGACTTTGTGACGACCAGACTAGTGAGAGGGCGCCTTGAGTATTGATTGACATTGAACCATCTGCCATTTGATCGACTGTACCACCAGAACCAGACCCCGAAAGTTATATCTTTGCGAAAGGTAGACTGCCGTAGGTAAATTACCCTGGCTTTATCAAATACTTGTGTGGTGATTAATTGGTTATAGCTACAGCTGTTTTAAATGCCTAAATTAGCTACGCATCTCCATTCAGACAAGCCTCTTCGCTGTGTACCGGAGCGAATTGGCTACTTTCAGACTAGCTACACACGTTCGGTTGCACTTTATTGTGAGACTGAGTAGCTAGCTATAACTTGTTACCAACCGTATGTTATTCTTACCAACACTTTATTCCGTGCTGCTGTAATGTGAAGTGCAAGCCATTTTTATGAAAACTGCTTCACTTCCCTCCATTCTGGAGTCTGTCAGTTGTCTGCTTTCAACTTTGTCTTCTCAGTCTGGGAACATGGTTGTTGTATTTGAACATGGTTTGTCATTTATTCTATATTGTAGAAATGTTTTGATGTCAAATGTGTGAAATGAATAACATCTCTATCTGTTGTCAACAGACTGTTTACTTTTTTGGCATGGTTTTTCTCATAGGGTTTTATCAGCCCTCCGACCCCCAGTCTCTGTGGATGGCGCTCCATCTGGCGGACAAAATGAGTACTGCACCAACGGACGTGAAAGAGGACCGCTTGTGGGTATGAAGAGGACATGAAAGAGGACCATCCAAGATGGCTACTTGTGAGTGTTTAGCACAAATGTCCTTGTTTAGTCTGCCCTCTCCTTGTTGGAGAGAGTTTCTGCTGTTTTGCAGATGTAGAAGAGTTTGAAGCACACAAACGAAGCCTGACTCCTTTCAGCTCTGTGAGAGAAGCTGCCACTAGATCACATTTAGGATCAGTTTAGTTCCTACTAGCCTAGCAAAGAGTGGGAGAAAGGAGGGCAGAAAAAGGCCTGTCTTTTGTCTGATGACATCAATCACAGCCCCAGCACGGCCCGGCTACTCTGCATAACCCCCAGCCTCCTCTGCGGCTCGGTGAAAGGCAACTATTAGAAGATGTTCTATAATACCTCAGAGAGTGCCGTGTATATAGTGGTGTGCTGACTGTGTGTTTGAAGCATATGAGTCTTATCCGGGTGCTTCCAGCAAAAAATAACCTGCTCAATCTTCTCTGTCGAGGAAGGGGGGCTAAAGGGTGGGTTTTGCCAAATAAGGAGAAAGTGGGAGGGGGGACAATGAGTAAGAACACACCCCTCCAAATGTAAACAATGCATAACTAAGAAACTATGTGATATGTTGTCCTTACAGAGTCCTAGGATCTGTTAATTACAAAATACATTTAGATGAAGCTGTAAATTACTAAATACGTTTTAATTAAGCTTGAACCACGGCATGGCTGCTTACAGCTATATTATTTAAATGGTTTTGCATTATGGTGTCCAATACGTGACTAAATTAGTACATTTTAAATTCTGACTGAAATCTGGACACAAATGTAATTCATTAAACTATTCAATAAAGTCTGTATACACAGTCCTAGCTTGAACCCCACCATGGCTGCTTGCAGCGTCATCGAGGAGGTTTGATTCATCTCGCCCGGGCGCCCGTGTAGGCGTGTTTTGCATCGGCTGAAAGTTGATTGCATTCGATTTGGAACCTGGCTGCCTCCCGGGTGCCCCGTTCAAAGCCCACGGCGAAGTCAAAAATGGCATAATTAAGCACGTGTAGTAATTAGTAGGATTTACACCTTTATCGCTGAATATAACACGCTCTATCAGGATACAAGACCAGGTGAGATATCGCTGAATATAACACGCTCTATCAGGATACAAGACCAGGTGAGATATCGCTGAATATAACACGCTCTATCAGGATACAAGACCAGGTGAGATATCGCTGAATATAACACGCTCTATCAGGGTACAAGACCAGGTGAGATATCGCTGAATATAACACGCTCTATCAGGATACAAGACCAGGTGAGATATCGCTGAATATAACACGCTCTATCAGGATACAAGACCAGGACGTCAGAGAATGAAACTCTCTTTTCACGGCACTTCGATACAGCTATGGCCGGAAGGGATTTTTACGTAGCAGGTTAGGAGAATTAAGGTAGCAGGTTAGGAGAATTAAGGTAGCAGGTTAGGAGAATTAAGGTAGCAGGTTAGGAGAATTAAGGTAGCAGGTTAGGAGAATTAAGGTAGCAGGTTAGGAGAATTAAGGTAGCAGGTTAGGATAATTAAGGTAGCAGGTTAGGAGAATTAAGGTAGCAGGTTAGGAGAATTCAATTAAGGTTAGGAAAAGGGTTAGGGGAAATGCTCTCCTAACCTGCTACGAAAATAACTTCCGGTCGTGGCTGAAAAGAGTGTGTCCCGTGCTGTAGTTGTTTTAATATCTTACCCTCTCCTCTGCACTGTCCTCTGTCTCCTCCTCTCTGTCCAGGGCATAGAGAGCGTTGTGGACACGGGCCAGCCGGCCACACAGAGACATCAACAGGTTGACTATCTTATCCAGGTCCCCGATGAACATCCTGTACTTCTCCTTCTCGTTGGGCTTACAGTGCTCCTGGACCAGGCTCTCCATGTGGCCCCCTAGGGCCCAGAACCTCCTCTGCTCCTCACCCAGAACCTCTCTCTCCTCTCGGAGTGAGGCAACGCTAAGGGTCAGAGCCTGGAGTAGCTCCACCTGGTGGGCGGGTGGAGAGGAGAAGGGAGGAGTTGGCACCAACAATGTATATGTATGTTTATTGTTAGCATAAGTCTCCTGAATGGTTTACCACTCCTGTTTACCCAGAGATATGTACATCTCCTAAATGGTTTACCACTCCTCTTTACCCAGAGATATGTACATCTCCTGAATGGTTTACCACTCCTGTTCACCCAGAGATATGTACATCTCCTGAATGGTTTACCACTCCTCTTTACCCAGAGATATGTACATCTCCTGAATGGTTTACCACTCCTGTTCACCCAGAGATATGTACATCTCCTGGACCATGAGGACCAGAGGTTGGATGGGCATTTTTTGTCTTCAATTTTCCTTTTAATTGAGATGGATTTTATATCAGCCAGTTAATTCAAAGATGAATGTAAGGTATTAAAGTTCAGACCTTTTTCTGATTGAGGTCTGCCTCCTCCTCATCCAGATCTGTCTCCATCCCTCGTTCCCCCTCTGTTTTCTGCAGCAGACTGGGTCCTGTAGAACAGACGCCATCTTGTCTTCTACAAGAACAGAGACAAGAATGTGGGCAACAGTTACCATTATTACCACTGGAATACACTGACACATTAGACACCAAAACTCCTGACTGAAACTGACACATACTGCAGAATAAGCAACAAGCAGTAAGGAGCGATTAACAAGCAGTAAGCACCAAGCAGTAAGCAACAATTAACAAGCAGTAAGCACCAAGCAGTAAGCAACAATTAACAAGCAACAAGCAGTAAGCAACAAGCAGTAAGCAGTAAGCAACTATTAACAAGCAACAAGCAGTAAGCAACAATTAACAAGCCACAAGCGGTAAGCAACAAGCAGTAAGCAGTAAGCAACAATGAACAAGCAACCAGCAGTAAGCAACAAGCAGTAAGCAACAATTAACAAGCAACCAGCAGTAAGCAACAAGCAACAAGCAGTAAACAACAATTAACAAGCAGTAAGCAACAATTAACAAGCAGTAAGCAACAAGCAGTACTGCTATAAGGAATAAGCTCGGACTGGTTTGGTTTCATGACTGGCCCTATTTTGCAGGACGGACACGGACAGGCAGAATAGAATGTTGAGAGAGAACAACATTCCACAGTAGAATCGGGTCATACTTAATCAATCACACTCAACCTGATCCTCCTCAGAGAACAGAACGGATGTAACTGCGACACCACGGAATCTAAAAGAACTGTCCACTGAACCTACTTTAATATAATACATTTAATATTGAAACATGTTTTTGATACAAGTTCACAACATCTCTTCCATACATTCACTATCCTAAAACCCAACTGTCAAGAATATCATTGTGCATATGTTTCTTTGTGAACAATAATTGCCTCGTAAAATAGCCATTTCTGGCCAAACAATAGTAGTATTGTATTTAATACAGTGTATAGGATCTGAGACTTCTCTACCACAGAAAAGGGAAGGACTCGTTTAGTCCTTCAACCTTCTGTGTTAAATCATGTCAGTAGAGGTCACTGCTGCCATTCTTTAACCAACCCAGACTCAATGTACCTTTAACCAACCCAGACTCAATGTACCTTTAACCAACCCAGACTCAATGTACCTTTAACCAACCCAGACTCAATGTACCTTTAACCAACCCAGACTCAATGTACCTTTAACCAACCCAGACTCAATGTACCTTTAACCAACCCAGACTCAATGTACCTTTAACCAACCCAGACTCAATGTACCTTTAACCAACCCAGACTCAATGTACCTTTAACCAACCCAGACTCAATGTGCCTTTAACCAACCCAGACTCAATGTACCTTTAACCAACCCAGACTCAATGTACCTTTAACCAACCCAGACTCAATGTACCTTTAAACCAACCCAGACTCAATGTACCTTTAACCAACCCAGACTCAATGTACCTTTAACCAACCCAGACTCATTGTACGTTCCATCTTCCATTACAGGGCAGTGTTGTTCAGCTTCCATAGACCCAGTCTGTATGACGTCGCCTGACTCCAGCGTGGGGAGAGAGAGCTCTACACTACAGCCTGGATATCAGCAGGTCTCAGCAGTCATCGTTCTCTGGCGTCAGAGTAAACTGTCATCCTATCTGTGGGACCTCCCTCCCTCTCTCTCTCTCTCGAAACGATAATGTTCATGATGAAAACAAAAAACAGGTTGACTTTTAAAAAGACACTTAGCAATTTCACCTTGAAAACCCTGTGAGATATGATATCCTTTCCCTTGCTCATGACCAGATTATTGTGGGGGCGATAGCCCCTATAGTATATAGGCATTGATTGAAGCTCAATGTTAAATTCAAATCTCCCTACCATATACCTAAGCCAATATGACACCAGTCTCGATGAAAATTAGCAAATCAACTTGATTGGAGGTACACAACACACTCCCTGCCTCTTGTCATGAGCCGTCCGTTCGTTTAGAGAACCAAAGTTGATATAAACAGCAAAAAGAAACGTCCCTTTTTCAGGACCCTGTCTTTCAAAGATAATTGGTAAAAATCCAAATAACTTCACAGATCTTCATTGTAAAGGGTTTAAAACACTGTTTCCCATGCTTCTTCAATGAACCATAAACAATTAATGAACATGCACCTGTGGAACGGTCGTTAAGACACTAACAGCTTATAGACGGTAGGCAATTAAGGTCACAGTTATGAAAACTTAGGACACTAAAGAGGCCTTTCTACTGACTCTGAAAAACACCAAAAGAAAGATGCCCAGGGTCCCTGCTCATCTGCGTGAACGTGCCTTAGGCATGCTGCAAGGAGGCATGAGGACTGCAGATTTGGCCAGGGCAATAAATTGCAATATCCGTACTGTGAAACACCAAGTTGTTTTGTGAATTCAAGCAATAAACTGAGCCATAATGTAACCAGACTGTTATAGCCTACCTGTTGTTAATGAACCCTGATCAAATAGTCTAACCTATCATTAAGCTACATAACAGGAATAAAACACACACACACACACACACACCAAGCGCACACACAAACACACATACTTCCTCAGTCCCTCTGGGTTACTACAAGACCTCACCCCACCTCTCTCTCCTCCTCCACCTCCCCTCCCGTCCCCTCTTCCCTTGTCTCCTCCCCCTCTCACCTGTCCTCCAGCCAGGTGCTGCTCCTACGGCGTTGCCACGGCAACCTCCCTCCCCCCGCTGGGAAGATCTCTTCCATCAGGTCCATGGTGCTGGTCCGTCCAACCCCCGGGCCAGGTGTCCAGCACCGGGCTCAGGGTCTTATCCCCCCGGGACACCAGCTGTCTGACCAGGGCTTCCACCTTCAGCTCCCCAGCAGACCTCTCCCTCCTGGCCAGGAGACGGTACTCTAACCCCAGGCTTTCCTTACCGCTAGGCACTTGCTGGAGATCTGGGATACTGCTGCTGGGGGTGATGGGGGTCTGGTGGGTCGGGGATCTCAGGCTGGGGAATAGAGGGGGGGACTGTCTGAGGGGAAAGGGAGGGGATAGATGGTCTTCTCTCTGGACACACAACCTCCAGGAACTCACAGCTGCGTGGATAGAAACAGACAGAACACATGACACAATGGTGAGTGGACAATTTTCTAAAGGATTGGAACATTTTCAACATTGTTGCATTATATCAGGTGTTATGTTGAACTTGTCAGTGTCTCTTTGTCTATGCACATTAGAATAGTTGGAAAACCTTTGTAATATTGTACAGTAGTAATGTGTGGTGGTGACAAAGCCTGTTGTACCTGTTGAGGTGTCGTAGCCCAGGCCGACGGTTCTCTTCCTGCTCCGCTCCGTCTGGGGGTGAGGAGGAAGGCAGGAGAGGGGGAGGGGGGAAGTCCTCTGTGATGTCCGTCTCCCTGATGGGGAGCGGGGGAGGAGGAGGGGAGGGAGGGGCCAGATCCTGGAGGAACACCTCGTCATAGTCCTGTAAGCAGACTACCTGTGTGGGCGGGGTCTCCTGCAGGTTGGACTCTGAGATGCGGAGGGAGAGCAGGGGGTGTGGTCTGGGAGAGGTTTTAGGAGAAGGTGGGGTTGGAGAGGTCTTAGGTGGGGGTGCGGCGGTTTTAGGTAGGACCGGGGGTGGGGTGGTTTTAGGTAGGACCGGGGGTGGTATGGTTTTAGGTAGGACCAGGGGTGGGATGGTTTTAGGTAGGACCAGGGGTGGGATGGTTTTAGGTAGGACGGGGGGTGGGGTGGTCTTTGGTGCAGTGGATGGATTCTCTCTGGGGAAGTCTTTCAGGGTCTCCTCTGAGGTGCTGGTGTCTGATGAGCCCAGTCTGGTCCTGGTCTGCAGACCCTGGTCCTGGCACTGATGTGCTGTGGGGCTCCTCCTGGTCTCTGGGGACACGGCTCTGGGAGTGCCAACCTGCAGCGGGCAGGGGAAGACGATGGCATCCAGGTTGGCCTGGCTTAGCCTCTCGCTGACCTGAATGAATTCATGAATACTTCATTGTCCCTAAGGGAAATGTGTCTGGTAACAATCTAGAATATATCACAAACCAAACTCTATCTTGGCCAGGTCATTACTGTCAAATAAAATGTGTTCGCAATTACTTACCTGGTTAAATAAAGGCAACACAGAAACTTTCAGCCGGACAGACAGACAGACAGACAGACAGACAGACAGACGGACAGCCGGACAGACAGACAGACAGACAGACAGACAGACAGACAGACAGACAGACAGACAGACAGACAGACAGACAGACAGACATACCTGCCAGTCAAGGCTAGTGCCGGGGCTGGTGCCCATGGAGGAGAAGGGGCAGGGTAGACCTACGGAGGCAGCCAGGCCGGAGGCACTAAGGGCCCGCTGGCGGTCGGTGTTCCTCTGCCTCTCTCTCCTCATCACAGGGGTGTTGCTTTGGGAAGGGCCCTGATTCAGCAGGTAATGGGTGTCCGCGTGCTGGGACTGGGAGGCTGAGATGGGACGCTTTGAACGCTGCTTGTCCATGGACCTGAGGAGAAATAAACACATAACATGCAAACAAACAAACAAACAAACACACACACACACACACACACACACACACACAAACCTGTTAAGTGTATGAGTGCCTACCCCTCTTTCCCCAATCACATCCATCCCTGGCATGCTATTTTTAATCTCTGTTTCCCTCCCTCTATGCCAGGGGTTTTCCTTCTAAATGCCAGGAATTCTGCTGCAACCAGGACAATCCTGCTCTAAAATAGCAGTGAACAGAACAGTAGAACACTGTGCTGCTGACCAAGTAAGGATCTGACCAGGGGCTATTACCTTAAAAGTCTGCTGCATGTTTAAATAAACATTTTCTCAGTTCCCATCATAAACTTAGTTCTTTGAGAGGAAAAAAAATCTGAGAGATCATCAGAACTTTTGGGATGACTAAAGTGGAAAACCCTTTGGCCTTAACTAACAAGATGAGTACGTGAGAGGAGTACTGTTGGTTATTTCACCGTTGTATATGTAATGAATCTGACAGACAGACAGTGTGTATCCCACATTTACATTTGTTTACATTTGTCATTTAGCAGACGCTCTTATCTAGAACGACTTTTTTTCCCCTGCTAATGGCACCCTATTCCCTATATAGTGCACTACTTTTGACCAGAGAATGGCACCCTATTCTCTATATAGTGCACTACTTTAAATTAAATGGCACCCTATTCCCTATATAGTGCACTACTTTAAATTAAATGGCACCCTATTCCCTATATAGTGCACTACTTTAAATTAAATGGCACCCTATTCCCTATATAGTGCACTACTTTAAATTAAATGGCACCCTATTCCCTATATAGTGCACTACATTAAATTAAATGGCACCCTATTCCCTATATAATGCACTACTTTTGACCAGAGCCCTATGGGCCCGGAGCCTTATGGGGCTGCCCAACCCGCTTCCTGGAGATCTTCCGGTCCTCTGTAGCTCAATTCGTAGAGCACGGCGCTTGTAACGCCAGGGTAGTGGGTTCGATCCCCGGGACCACCCATACGTAAAAATGTATGCGCACGTGACTGTAAGTCGCTTTGGATAAAAGCGTCTGCTAAATGGCATATTATTATTATTATTATTATTATTATTATTATCTACCGTCCTGTAGGTTTTCAGTCCAACCCTAATTTAGCGTATCTGATTCAGCTGGTTAAGGTCTTGTTGAGCAGCTAATATGTAGAATAAGGTGTGTTAAATTAGGGTTGGACTGAAAACCCACAGGGACGGTAGATCTCCAGGAAGAGGGTAGCTCTCCAAGAAGAGGGTTGGCCAGCCCTGATCTAGGGAATATGGTTCCATTTGAGGTGCACACAGAAGGATCTATCTCCATGGAAACAGACCTGTTGTTGTCATGGTGAGTGAACAGCTGGGGTTCATTAGAGAAGACCTCAAACATCCTCGGATCTCCTCCTGCCATGAAGTCCTGAAAGGAGATGGAGAGAGAGGGGGGGGGGGGCAGAGAGGGAGAGAGAGAGAGAGAGGGGGGAGGGGAAGGAAGGGAGGAGAAAGAATAGAGAGAGAGAGGGGGAGAGAGAGAGAGATAGGGTGAGGAGGGAGAGAGAGCTGAGAGATGGTGAGAGATAGAGAGAGAGATAGGGGAGAGGAGAGATGAGACGCTAGAGATGGTGAGGAGAGCTAGAGAGGGGGGGGGGGAGTGAGAGAGGGAGAGAGAGGTCTCGCGTTTGGCGGTAGCTGCCCAGAGTATCAGTGCTGGGGTTGTTTAAGAGAGCTTGCCAGACTGGTCCTCTGAGAGCAGAGGGAAGGAGGGGACGAGAGGGACGAGAGAGAGCGGGAGAGAGGATGACGGAGAGGGGGAGAGAGGGAGAGCAGAGGGGTCGGGAACGAGACCGTAGAGAGTAGGGGAAGGGAGGGGAGAGCCAGAGGAAGGGGAGAGAGTTGAGGAGAGAGAGAGGGCCCGCTGGGGAAGCAGAGAGCAGAAGAGAGAGAGGGGATAGAGGATGGTTACTTGGAGAAGGGGAAGGTGAGGTAAACCATAACATTCCAGAGTGATTCAGGCTGACACAGAGGTTATGGATAGTGATCTATTTAGGAAAAACACACACACAGTAGGATTGGAAAACAGCAGGCTCTGGTCAAAAGTAGTGCACTAGATAGGGAATAGGGTGACATTCGGACGCACATTTTATGATTATTAGTGTTTACGTTGAGTATAAATGTTCTGGGGGGGATACTTCCCCTGGCGTCATGGTGGGTCTATACTGTAGCTACGTTAGAGAGGATGAATCATAGTGGGATTATGTCTCCACACTGGTGCTGTGTCTGTGTGTGTCTGTGTGTGTTTCCAGATTGTGCAGAGAGATCGTCTGTAAGCAGTCACAAGATCCCTCTCTGAGAGCATAGCTACATACACTACCATTGTCTTCCATCAGATGGCGTCATTCTAACGCGACACTCAGTCGCCAGGAGCCATCTGTCTGGCAAATCGTGGAACTCATCTCCAGATTTTGCTCGGTAGCTAGTTTGCCAGCTTGCTGATAAAGTATTTTACTGCACCAAAGTTAAGGGTCTGTTCTCAGAAATGGGCTTTGACAGCTGGCACTGGTGTGGCTTGCTACTTTGTAACATTTGATCAAAATGATAAGGTCTTAGCTATCGTTAGCTAACGCAGTCAGCTGCTGCAGAACTCGGTGCACTAATCATGGCAGAACAGCATAGCAACCAGCATAGCAACCAGCATTGCAACGTATGAAAACTCATTCATTGTGTTATTAGCCGTCGCTCTTTTACTGACATTGATCTTTTCGACTCGTTCAGTCAAAATAACAAATCTTACGACTCATTTAGTTCATTTGAGTCAGTAACGCCCAGAGCACGCAGGACCCCCTTCCGGCGAACGATGAACTAAAAACTTGAAAGAATCATGATTCTACAAGCCTCTCGTTCACCATAGGGGCATAGCCGCAGGAAGTAGAGGTGCTGAGGGTAAAGAACCCCCTGAAAAACATAATAAAAAAAATATATGAATTCCCCCAATAATAATTTTTTTCACAAAAAGTAGTGCACTCGGCCTTTACTAGTCTTGTGTTAGTGGACCGATATAGCGTCTGTAGCGCATGCAAAAACATTTAAGCACCACCCAACATCTTCCCGCAGCTATGCATATGGGGCTTATTGGAGCCGTCATCGGTGACCGAAACTTATAAAACTGTGCTTCAAACAATGCAATTTGTGATTGCTAGGCATACAAATAAAGATGATTTATTGATACCTTTGAAATGAGGTCTCGTTGCAGCTGCAACCGGGCTAGATTGTGAACGGAATGCAATTGCATGACTGCCACGAGGGAGATTTGCCCAATAGGCTATCGCTTACGAACTGCAGCAGACACCCGAACGATTCGTTCTCAAGTTCGAATGTTGAACAGAGGCTGGCTGTGTATGTTGTGGTTCTTGCATTTATCAGTTCTAAACATGTATTTTCCTTCTCTATGCGGCGTGATCTATGTTTCAGCGCGCGTATTATAGACAGTTACTGGTCAGAGCACGTCTCCGGAGCCACTGAGCCGGAGGATCGTGTATTAATCCTGCTGTAGAATTAATTGCGGCCAGCAGGTCAAACTAACAACTAAAATGAACTAGTCACTCAGAAAGACGAATCATGACTCTCGAGTCAGTAAAGAGTTGTTCAAAAATAACTAATCGTTCGAACTGCACATCACTAGAGCATAAGCCAGCTGTGTTTTCTTACATAAACCATATGCACATTACACTGTTGTTCAATACAAAATGTATAGGCTGTACATTTCAATTTCAACTGCAAATGGCACGCGCTGATGACTGAAAATGTTTATGCAGGCAAATGCTTGCCGCACTGGTTTTAGTCACACGTTCTAATTTAGCTAGCATTAGCTACTTATCTCATAATGAATGCAAGCACATGGCCTGAATGACAGATCTGCGCCAATTGTCTTTCTTTTTGCAGAATGCATATTTCATAAACTAACTAAATAATCCCCCTAGCTAACATAATAGTTAAAACATTTTAAAAGTTATCCTTTTTAGATAGAACTATACTAAATATATTCACACACTGTTTTGCAATGAAGGTCTACAGTAGCCTCAACAGCACTCTGTAGGGTAGCACCATGGTGTAGCCGGAGGACAGCTAGCTTCCATCCTCCTCTGGGTACATTGACTTCATTACAAAACCTAGGAGGATCATGGCTCTCACCCCCATCCATAGACTTACACAGTAATTATGACAACTTCTGGAGGACATCCTCCAACCTATCAGAGCTCTTGCAGCATGAACTGACATGTTGTCCACCCAATCAAAGGATCAGAGAATGAATCTAGTACTGAAAGCATAAGCTACAGCTAGCTAGCACTGCAGTTCAAAAAAATGTGGTGAGTAGTTGACTAAAAGAGAGAGAAAGACAATGGTTGAACAGTTTTCAACAAATTAATTTATTCAAAAATGAAGGAGACGCGAAGAGAGAGATATCTTGTCATTTTTTTCACTTTCACTTACTTAGCTAGCAAATGCAGCAAGCTAGTTTAGTCTACTCAAACACCTGGCTCAAACAGAGGGATGCTATGTTAGCTAGCTGGCTATGACTATCCAACACAACACTGGAACTCTTCCAAGTCAAGGTAAGCTTTTGGTTTTACAAATGTATTGCCCCCGGGGCCCGCCGGTGTAACTGCTAAACTGCTTACTGACTTAACCCTGTCCTGCATGATTGTAGCGGGTTTACTAACGCGTTAATTCTATTAGCTATGTTGACTATGACGTTACTTTAGCTAATATGGGGACAATGATGTAGGCTGTGTGTAGCGGTTATGACATGGTTTGGCTTGGAAAGTTTTTTTTGTCTGGTCACATACAGCTGATGTGTTGTGCATTGTGAAGTCCACACGCGAAGGGAAAAGGTGAGAGGAGGAGAGTGTGTAGATGCGAGAAGGAATACAACATGGCTGCTCTGAAAGTCAACTGTGTTTACGTGTGATCACGGGTGTATTCATTCCGCCGATTGTGTTGAAAAACGTTCCTTAAATGGAAGCAAAAGAAACGGGGATAAACATTCCTGAATTTGTCCAATAGAAACTCTTGTTTGCAACTGTTGGACTAATGATTATACCCTATAGATCAGCTACATGCGGGCAAGAGTGTGCAAGGCGGTATTGAATGTCACTGTCTGTCCATGTGAACACTGTCATTCACCTCGTATAGGCTAGGTTGTAGCAACCTCATGAAGAGGGTATAGGGGAAAATATGAGTATCATGTAGTAGCCTAAACCTATCGATGTTACATTGAACTGCTACGTAGACTCACCCTGTCACCACCCCTCAGAGAACACAGTACAGTACGTGACATAAGACACGACGTTACTATTTCTAAAAAATAGATCTGGTAATAAAGGGTGTCCTTGTTTAACGCCCCCCCCAACAGAAACGGACTCTGCAGCAGAGCCATCTACTCTGCCCACGTCGGTTATCATGTGGCGCTTAGCTTTCCAGGTTGCTTTATGGAGTCTGGCTGCCAATCTGTTTAGCTATAATTCCAGTCCCTTGTACTCCGTGTCTAAACTTTGGCATATGACACAGAGCACAAGTGGAATGACAGCCGAAACAGACCGGTGACCAGGATATGCTTTATGTGCCAGCTGTAGTCAGGAGGAGGGGCTGGTGTTTAGAGCCCAGCTGAGTAGAATGATCTACAACCCCTGCTGACCTCTCCTGACCTCTCCTAACCTCTACTGACCTCTCCTGACCCCTGGGATGCTCATCCTCCAGAGTAGGGTTATGTGCCTGCTCTCCGCAAGGTCGCAGATACCAAGTCAGGCCAGAGGAGGGTAGCATCAGCTCCTTTTAGGACTATTGTTTTTGTTTTTTGACACCACGGAGCGGTTTGGCACGACAGCACCCATAGTAGTTGGCTGTGACGATTATGGAATTTTGGGAAAGATTAATTGTCATGGAAATAGTCACGGTTATTGTTATTTTTGTAGAAAAATATTTGAGCTTTTAGTCTTGTTATTTTTGTAGAAAATTTTTTTGAGCTTTTGATCTTTGAACGCAGATCCCTGACTCAAAAACAAAGCTTCTCCTCCCGTTCTACTCTTAACATTATATTATGAACTTTACCCACTTAACTGCTATTGGGTAAACTACAGTGAGGGAAAAAAGTATTTGATCCCCTGCTGATTTTGTATGTTTGCCCACTGACAAAGAAATGATCAGTCTATAATTTTAATGGTAGGTTTATTTGAACAGTGAGAGACAGAATAACAACAACAACAAAAATCCAGACAAAGGCATGTCAAAAATGTTATAAATTGATTTGCATTTTAATGAGGGAAATAAGTATTTGACCCCCTCTGCAAAACATGACTTAGTACTTGGTGGCAAAACCCTTGTTGGCAATCACGGAGGTCAGACGTTTCTTGTAGTTGGCCACCAGGTTTGCACACATCTCAGGAGGGATTTTGTCCCACTCCTCTTTGCAGATCTTCTCCAAGTCATTAAGGTTTCGAGGCTGACGTTAGGCAACTCGAACCTTCAGCTCCCTCCACAGATTTTCTATGGGATTAAGGTCTGGAGACTGGCTAGGCCACTCCAGGACCATAATGTGCTTCTTCTTGAGCCACTCCTTTTTTCCCTTGGCCATGTGTTTTGGGTCATTGTCATGCTGGAATACCCATCCACGACCCATTTTCAATGCCCTGGCTGAGGGAAGGAGGTTCTCACCCAAGATTTGACGGTACATGGTCCCGTCCATCGTCCCTTTGATGCGGTGAAGGTGTCCTGTCCCCTTAGCAGAAAAACACCCCCAAAGCATAATGTTTCCACCTCCATGTTTGACGGTGGGGATGGTGTTCTTGGGGTTCATAGGCAGCATTCCTCCTCCTTCCAAACACGGCGAGTTGAGTTGATGCCAAAGAGCTCCATTTTGGTCTCATCTGACCACAACACTTTCACCCAGTTCTCCTCTGAATCATTCAGATGTTCATTGGCAAACTTCAGACGGGCCTGTATATGTGCTTTCTTGAGCAGGGGGACCTTGCGGGCGCTGCAGGATTTCAGTCCTTCACGGCGTAGTGTGTTACCAATTGTTTTCTTGGTGACTATGGTCCCAGCTGCCTTGAGATCATTGACAAGATCCTCCCGTGTAGTTCTGGGCTGATTCCTCACCGTTCTCATGATCATTGCAACTCCACGAGGTGAGATCTTGCATGGAGCCCCAGGCCGAGGGAGATTGACAGTTATTTTGTGTTTCTTCCATTTGCGAATAATCACACCAACTGTTGTGACCTTCTCACCAAGCTGCTTGGCGATGGTCTTTTAGCCCATTCCAGCCTTGTGTATGTCTACAATCTTGTCCCTGACAGCCTTGGAGAGCTCTTTGGTCTTGGCCATGGTGGAGAGTTTGGAATCTGATTGATTGATTGCTTCTGTGGACAGGTGTCTTTTATACAGGTAACAAGCTGAGATTAGGAGCACTCCCTTTAAGAGTGTGCTCCTAATCTCAGCTCGTTACCTGTATAAATGACACCTGGGAGCCAGAAATCTTTCTGATTGAGAGGGGGTCAAATACTTATTTCCCTCATTAAAATGCAAATAAATTTATAACATTTTTGACATGCGTTTTTCTGGATTTTGTTGTTGTTATTCTGTCTCTCACTGTTCAAATAAACCTACCATTAAAATGATAGACTGATCATTTCTTTGTCAGTGGGCAAATGTACAAAATCAGCAGGGGGTCAAATACTTTTTCCCCTCACTGTATATCTACTTGAATATGAAGTTCAAGCCTCCCTACTCCTAAAATAAATGTATCATTTTTTTTTAAATTCAAGGTTGTTGTCCATAATTGTTGGTTACCCGTAGTCACCCGTAGTCTGCGCTCCAGCAGGTATATCTCACTGGTCATTCCCAAAGCCAACACCTCCTTTGGCCGCCATTCCTTCCAGTTCTCTGCTGCCAATGACTGGAACGAATTGCAAAAATCTCTGAAGCTGGAGACTCTTATCTCCCTCAATAACTTTAAGCATCAGTTGTCAGAGCAGTTTACCGATCACTGCACCTGTACACAGCCCATCTGAAATTAGCCCACCCAACTACCTCATCCCTATATTGTTATTTATTTTGCTCTTTTGCACCCCAGTATCTCTATTTGCACATAATCTCTTGCACATCTAGCATTCCAGTGTTAATACTATTGTAATTATTCTGCACTATAGCCTATTTATTGCCTTACCTCCATAACTTGCTACATTTGCACACACTGTATATACATTTTCTGTTGTATTTCTGACTTTATGTTTTTTTTACCCCATATGTAACTCTGTGTTGTTTTTATTGCACTACTTTGCTTTATCTTGGCCAGGTCGCAGTTGTAAATGAGAACCTGTTCTCAACTGGCTTACCTGGTTAAATAAAGGTGAAAAAAATAAAAAAATTACACGATTATACAATAATTGTGCCAGCACTAGTTGGAAAGCCAGCACCAACGATCTAACCTGAGATATACAGCTAAAGCATGTTTTTATGGAACTGAATTGCGTGGTGCCTCTATTTTGGAACTGTCCCAGAGTAGCATTTCATTATAAAAAAATCTAAAAGACAGATGTACTCTACCTGGTTGATCCTCTCTCCAGAGGGCGAGGAGCGTGATCTGAAGTGCTGTGGTGCAGGCTTCTCCTCAGAGTGCTCCAGAAGATCCTCCGCTGAGGAAGACTTCCCAGAGCTCCGGGCTGGAGCCGCTCTTTCAAAGGCCCCATCGCCTCGCTGGGAAAACCCCTGGCTCTGGAAAGCCTCGTAGGCCTGGCCTGGGGCTGGCTCTCCCTCCAGAGGCCTGTGGGATCCAGATCCAGTGGGGTATTGGTGGGAGGTGGAGACTGAGGTGGGGGCCTGGGCATGGATGTGTGGTGCGGTCACCCTGCCTGGGTAGACACAGCCCTGGAGCTGCAGACCGGGAGGCAGGGTGGAGCAGAGCCTTTCCTCACCAAAGAGGCTGCTGTCTGGGCCAAGCAGCTCCTGGAGAGAGGCTAGGCTGGTGGTGGAGGTGGAAGAGACACTCTGGGTGTCTGTGAAAGGATGGAGGTAGGCACTGTGGGGCCGGTGACGATGCTGTCTCCCCTCGGAGCTGTCCCTGTCTGTCCTCCAGCCTCTCTTCCTCTCCATGTAGTCGGCCAGGGCGTCCTGCTGCAGCTGCCGGAGCTCCGGCCGGGACACGGCTAGACCAGCCTGCGAGCCCTGGAGGCCCTGTGGAGTCTGGGAGATCTGGAGGCCCTGGGGAGTCTGGGAGCTGGAGCTCAGGCTGCGACTGGCGGCCTTCTCAAACATCCTCCTGCGGTCCGCCACGCTGGTCTCTGTGCCTGGGAACAGGATCTGCTGGTGTTGGGTGCTCCTCCTCGCGTCAGACTCTAACCCCACCTGGAAGAGGAAGAGGAAGAAATCTTTGTTGTCCATTATCTTGCAGAAAACAGTAAGGGTTTGGAGGCACAGGGTCAGCCACAGTGGAGAACAGTAAAGGGTGAGGTAAACTAAGAGCGTTGAACAACTAACAACTAAGAGCGTTGAAGCCTGAGGCTAAACGAGACCTGTTTCGGTCTCGTAGCTACCACATTGTAGCAGCGCGAAGCGCACCCGGTGCAGATAATCTGTGCGAGTCTTACATCGCGCTCATCTCAATATCGGTGGTGCTGTTTGTTGCAATGCCATCTCGCTGAGTCTACCTTTTTAAGTGCTTTGCTCATGGGCACAACAGCAGTCGATTGGCCCCCTGGATACTTTGACCCACCTCGTGCATGTTCTCTGGCTCGGAGTACGACCTCTTCTTCTGCTCCATGGTGAACCTCTTACGCCCCCCGATACGGGCCGGGACTGGTGGGCCCAAGGCCTGGACGCTGGGGAGCTCTGGGGGGCTGAACCTCTCGGGCTCCGGGGTGACAAGGTGCCTCTCTCTGGGGGTGTGAGGGGAGGGAGAGGTGGTTGGGGCTGGGACTGGGTCTGGGGTGGTGATCGTGTGCCTCTCTCTGGGAGTGTGAGGGGAGGGAGAGGTGGTTGGGGCTGGGACTGGGTCTGGGGTGGTGATCGTGTGCCTCTCTCTGGGGGTGTGAGGGGACAGGGAGGTGGCTGGGGCAGAGGCTGGGACAGTGGTGGTGACAGTGGAGGGTTTGAGGCTGGGACTGGGGGCCACCGCCTTCCTCTTAGCGGGGACGGGAGGGGGGTTGTTGTTGACACCAGGAGGGGGGTTGTTGGAGCTCTGGATAGAGCTGGCGCTGATTCCCAGGTCCCTGCGTCTGAAGGATGTGGATCGGAGCACCTTGGACTGGGCGTCCTTGATACAGTCCCTGTAGGCCCGGTTAAAGGACGTGTCCTGGATGGTCCCCAGTAGGTCCTGCAGGCCATCCCTCCAATGGAACTCTCTGTCAAAATCAGAATCACCTTTATTCACCACGCACATTAACATGTACCACGAAGAAGACCTGGTGAAATGGTTCTGACAACAATAAACTGAACATATATCATTCACATAGGTACAGTAGAACAGTTACCTGTCCCTGTCACGGTCGCTCTCCTCCTGGCTCCCCAGTTGGAAGGTGCTCCTGCTCCTCTGTAGGGCCGAGCCAGGGTGAGGGTCCTGGGGGTTAGGCTGGTGGTGGGGGTCCCTGGAGGTCTGGGGCTTGGCCTGGTCACAACTCCCTGGCATTTGCTGCTCTGCGTAATGATGACCCTCGTGGGCCACCGTAGCTTTCCCATGACGTGAGCTAGAGGAGGAGCACCGTGTTCTGCAGGTGCTGCTGGGGCTGCTGCTTCTCTCCAGCATGTTCCGCAGGTCATCCATACCCGCACCGTGGCTCATGGCCCTCTCATGGTGCTGGCGCTGTGTTGGACGGGAGGAGGAGGGTCCCAGGTTGTTGTGGCTGGCGCTGGTGCTTTGACTCCTCTGCTTCCCCTGCTCCTGCTCACGGCGCTCAAACCGATTCACCTTCTCCAGGACAGACGGGCTCCTCTGGTGGCCGCTCCAGCTCGTAGCGGGGCTCTCCGGACTGGCACAGCGCTGGACCTCCGCTAGGGCGTTCTCCAGCCGGGTCAGGGGGTGCTCTGGTCCCCTCTGGTTCCTCTGATGGTGGGGTGGACTGGGGTCGCTGTAGTGCCGGAGGGGGGACCTGGACCTCTGGTTGTTGACCCGATGATCAGGCCACCCGATGATCAGGCCACTGCTGCTCCTGATCCCCTGAGGAACGGGGCCCTTGGTAGTGGGAAGCTGAGAGTCTGGATGGCTGTGTTCACTGTGTCTGACCTGTCCCTGTTGGTGGTTCTCAGTGTAGCTCTCTGAGCCCTGGGAATACCTGGGTGACCTCTCTCCCCGCGGCTGGACTGGAGTGTATGGGTCCCTCCTCTCCTGGCCTATGGACTGGGCTGAGGAGGGTCTGTACGCCTGACCCTGACCATGACCCTGCCTCTGACCTTGCCCCTGCTGGCTTTGCCTTCGGGAGACGGTCTGGCCCTCCCCCTTCACATGAGACCTGTAGAGACCCAGTTTGGTTTGGGTCTCCTCATGTCCTCTGTCGCCCCCTCTGTCAACAGGCTGAGCTGGATAGGCTGGCTGTTTGAGTGGAGGCTGAGCAAAGTCATGATGCTGAGGCTGGTTGGAAGAGGTGACGTAGGAAGTGTTCTCTAATGCTACCGCCATCCCTGTATCCACACTGACCCCCAACCCTAACCCCTGGAGCTCTCTCTGCCTGCTCAGGCTGCTCTCCCTGGCCAGGGCTGGGTACACACTGCTGGGGCTGGGGTTGGGGCTGGGGCTGGGGCTGCTGGTGGGCATCTGTGCATAGTGGGGCTCTGGAGTGGGCAGCATGAGGCAGCCAGATGTATTCTGGGGCTGAGGGGGCTGGAGGAAGCCCTGACCCATGCCCTGTTTGGGCTTGGTGGTGGGGCTAGAAGAAAAATAAGAAACTATTCATCCAACAAGGAGAAACTGGATTTAACCAGCAAAGACAACAACAACAGAACATGTAACTGCCAAAATAAAGGAAACACTGGAGTACATGAGGGATACAAAGTACAGTAGATGTTGTTACGTTACAGCCTTATTCTAAAATTTATTAAATTATTTTTTCCCCTCATCAATCTACACACAATACCCCATAATGACAAAGCGAAAACAGGTTTTACATTTTTTTGGGACAAATTTATAAAAAATTTAAAACAAGCAATACCTTATTTACATAAGTATTCAGACCCTTTGCTATGAGACTCGAAATTGAGCTCAGGTGCATCCTGTTTCCATTGATCATCCTTGAGATGTTTCTACAACTTGATTGGAGTCCACCTGTGGTAAATTCAATTGATTGGACATGATTTGGAAAGGCACACACACCTGTCTATATAAGGTCACACAGTTGACAGTGCATGTCAGAGCAAGAACCAAGCGATGGGGTCAAAGGAATTGTCCGTAGAGCTCCGAGACAGGATTGTGTCAAGGCACAGATCTGGGGAAAGGTACCAACAAATGTCTGCAGCATTGAAGGTCCCCAAGAACACAGTGGCCGCCATCATTCTTAAATGGAAGAAGTTCGGAACCACCAAGACTCTACCTAGAGCTGGCCACCCGGCCAAACTAAGCAAACGGGGGAGAAGGACCTTGGTCAGGGAGGTGAACAAGAACCGGATGGAACTCCAGAGTTACTCTGTGGTGATCGGAGAACCTTCCAGAAGGACAACCATCTCTGCAGCACTCCAACAATCAGGCTTTTATGATAGAGTGGCCAGACGGAAAGGCACATGACAGCCCGCTTGGAGTTTGCCAAAAGGCACCTAAAGACTGTCAGACCATGAGAAACAAGATTCTCTGGTCTGATGAAACCAAGATTGAACTCCTATGCCTGAATGCCAAGCGTCACGTCTGGAGGAAACCTGGCACCATCCCTACAGTGAAACATGGTGGTGGCAGCATCATTCTGTGGGGATGTTTTTCAATGGCACGGACTGAGAGACTAGTCAGGATCTAGGGAAAGATGAACGGAGCAAAGTACAGAGAGATCCTTGATGAAAACATGCTCCAGAGCGCTCAGGACCTCAGACTGGGGCGAAGGTTCACCTTCCAACAGGACAACAAGCTCTAAGCACACAGCCAAGACAACCCAGTTGTGGCTTCAGGACAAGTCTCTGAATGTCCTTGAGTGGTCCAGCCAGAGCCCGGACTTGAACCCGATCGAACATCTCTGGAGAGACCTGAAAATAGATGTGCAGCGACGCTCCCCATCCAACCTGACAGAGCTTGAGAGGATCTGCAGAGAAGAATGGGAGAAACTCCCAAACTACAGGTGTGCCAAGCTTGTAGCATCATACCCAAGAAGACTTGAGGCTGTAATCGCTGCCAAGGTGCTTCAACAAAGTACTGAGTAAAGGGTCTGAATATATATATATTATTTTGGACATTTGCAAAAAAAATCTAAAAAACCTGTTTTTGCTTTAATAATAATAATAATAATATGCCTTTTAGAAGACGCTTTTATCCAAAGCGACTTACAGTCATGCGTGCATACATTTTTGTGTATGGGTGGTCCCGGGGATCGAACCCACTACCTTGGCGTTACAAGCGCCGTGCTCTACCAGCTGAGCTACAGAGCTTTGTCATTATGTCGTATTGTGTGTAGATTGATGACGACAAAAAAACTATTTAATCTATTTTCCAGAATAAGGCTGTAACGTAACAAAATGTGGAAAAAGTCAAGGGGTCTGAATACTTTCCGAATGCTTCCACACAGGTGTGGTTCCTGAGTTAATTAAGCAATTAACATCCCATTATGTATAAAAATGCAGGGCAGGCCATTATTTTGGCTACCATGGCTATGCCCCCATAGGATGACAATGCCCCCATCCACAGGGCACTAGTGGTCACTGAATGGTTTGATGAGCATGAAAACGATGTAAACCCATATGCCATGGCCGTCTCAGTCACCAGATCTCAACCCAATCGAACACTTATGGGAGATTCTGGAGCGCGGCCTGAGACAGCGTTTTCCACCACCGTCAGCAAAACACCAAGTTATGGAATTTATCTTGGAAGAATGATGTCACATCCCTCCAATAGAGTTTAAGACGCCTGTAGAATCTACGCCAAGGTGCATTGAAGCTGTTCTGGCTCGTGGTGGACCCAACGCCCTATTAAGACACTTTATGTTGGTGTTTCCTTTATTTTGGCAGTTACCTGTACACATGTCTACATCAGAGACACGTAGACAGAGTACTGATGTCTGGTTAAAAAAGCACAACTCCTGACTTCCGTAGAAGCAAATGGATACGATAGAATAGACTAAATACCTGCTCTCAGGACTCTTCTCTATGACGGTGTGGAGCTGTCCCTCGGCCCCGTAGGAGCCCTTCCCCAAGCCGGAGGCCACGGAGCCAGAGGAGTGGTGACAGGAGGAGGTGGACCCCTTGTGGAGAGCCCTGAGTGAGCGAGTCTGCTCCAGGCTGGACCAGGAATTGGGCCTCTCGTGGTGCCTGATGGCTGCGTAGCTGTCACTCCGCATGGGAGGAGCCGGTGCCCCCTTCAGGCTTTCATAGGAACTGCAGCTGGCGGACTGAGACTGGCCCCAGATCGGCCCAACGCTGTGGCGTTTGGGGTTATTACCATGGTTACTACCGCCATTGCTTCCGCCACTGCTGTTACAACTGCTACTGCTGCCGCGGTGACAGGAGGCCCTGCCCCCACTACGAGAACCCACCCTGCTGGCCTCGTGGTTGCGGAGCAACGCAGCGGAGCTGACCTCGTGCTCTTGGGCACCGCCCTGCTGGGGGTCGTAGATTGTACGGACGTATTGGATGTCAGCGTGCTGCCTGCCCTCCGCCACAGCCCCTCCCCCTCCTCCGCTAACCCCACCCCTCTGTGGAACCGTCTCCATGGAGTATGACCTCTCCTTACTAAAGGTCGGAGCGGCCGCTAGGTACTCTGGGATACTAGAGCTGGTGGAGAAGGAGGAGTAGGCTGAGTCCCTTTTGCTGTGAAGGTGGTCCATGCTGTTGGAGGACTTGGAGGCAGACAGCTGGTGGCAGGAGACTGTAGAGAGTAGATGGGATGGAGTGAGTGGAGAGAGGAGAGTAGGAGGGAGAGTGAGAGGAGAGAAGAGTGGACAAGACGCTGTAGGGAGGAGGAGGGAGACGAAGGAGAGGAGTAAGACTGAGGGAGAGTGGAGGGATGAAGTGGAGTAGGGAGGGAGGGAGGAGGGAGAGGAGCGGAGCGGAGAGGGAGCGGAGGAGAGGAGAGGAGAGGAGAGGAGAAGAGGAGAGGAGAGGGAGGGAGAGGAGAGAGAGGAGAGGAGGAGAGAGAGGGAGGAGCAGGAGAGTAAAGTAGCAGAGGAGAGGGAGGAGAGGAGCAGGAGAGGAGATCGGCAGAGGAGAGGGATGAGGCGAGGGAGTGGGGTGGAGTGGAGAGGAGAGGACAGGAGACGAGAGGAGTATCGTAGGGACGAAGAGGTAAGTAAGAGCAGGAGAGGAGGACGAGGAGAGGATAGGAGAGGCAGTGAGGGAGTGGAGTGGAAGGAGAGGAGAGTAGTAAAGTCAAGTAGACGAGGGAGCTAGGAGAGGAGTACTTTGATCCTTACTTGATTGAATGAATTGATTAGATCATTACAGTTACACCGGAGACCGACAGCATTACACACATTCAAAATGATTGAGGATAAAACACTTAGAATGTTAAAAAGAGCAGCACCTGTACGCTGGGTGGCTGTGCTGCTCCCCAAGGCTCTCCATACTTCCTCTAGAACTGTACTGGTCTGGGCTCTTCCTCAGGTAACCTGGGTCGTAGCCCGACAGGTCTGTAGTGGACGCACTGAGCAGAGGAGAGAGATAGAGAGAGATGGAAAGAGAGTTACATTTAAAATAATTTAGAGAAGTCAGCAGTAGACTCATAACCAAATAGTTACCAGATAAAATACTACCATTCATAGGTTTCTGGTTTCTGGGTAATCATTGTCATCATTATGGACTGTAAAGGCCATGTCATAGCACTGACTTCACAGTGTTGCAACACAACCTTGAGAGATATCATTACTGTGCTAGTAGATATCATTACTGTGCTAGTAAATATCATTACTGTGCTAGTAAATCTCATTACTGTGCTAGTAAATATCATTACTGTGCTAGTAAATATTATTACTGTGCTAGTAAATATCATTACTGTGCTAGTAAATCTCATACTGTGCTAGTAAATATTACTTCTATAATTACTGTGCTAGTAAATATAATTACTGTGCTAGTAAATATAATTACTGTGCTAGTAAATATCATTACTGTGCTAGTAAATCTCATTACTGTGCTAGTAAATATTATTACTGTGCTAGTAAATATCATTACTGTGCTAGTAAATATAATTACTGTGCTAGTAAATATCATTACTGTGCTAGTAAATCTCATTACTGTGCTAGTAAATATAATTACTGTGCTAGTAAATATAATTACTGTGCTAGTAAATATCATTACTGTGCTAGTAAATATTATTACTGTGCTAGTAAATATCATTACTGTGCTAGTAAATATCATTACTGTGCTAGTAAATATTATTACTGTGCTAGTAAATATAATTATTGTGCTAGTAAATATAATTAGTAGTAATGAAAAATGTCTGTGTGTGTGTGTAGTCTGCATGTCTGTGTGTGTGTGTAGTCTGCATGTCTGTGTGTGTAGTCTGCATGCCTGTGTGTGTGTGTGTAGTCTGCATGTATGTGTGTGTGTGTGTAGTCTGCATGTCTGTGTGTGTGTAGTCTGCATGTCTGTGTGTGTAGTCTGCATGCCTGTGTGTGTGTGTGTAGTCTGCATGTCTGTGTGTGTGTAGTCTGCATGTCTGTTTGTGTGTGTAGTCTGCATGTCTGTGTGTGTGTAGTCTGCATGCCTGTGTGTGTGTGTAGTCTGCATGCCTGTGTGTGTGTGTAGTCTGCATGTCTGTGTGTGTGTAGTCTGCATGTCTGTGTGTGTGTGTAGTCTGCATGTCTGTGTGTGTGTGTAGTCTGCATGTCTGTGTGTGTGTGTAGTCTGCATGTCTGTGTGTGTGTGTAGTCTGCATGTCTGTGTGTGTAGTCTGCATGTCTCTGTGTGTGTAGTCTGCATGCCTGTGTGTGTGTTGGGGGATCGTAGAGGCCCAGTGTTGGTTGGTATTTCTGCAGCAGTAATGAATGTGATGAGGACGTCACAGCTCTGGGATCAGCACAATCGCTCTTATAGCAGTGCTCCCTCATCCATGAGCAACACAATTACACCCAGTTCCTCTCCTACATTACTCTCAGAACTGAAGAGGCTGCAATGTGCCCCTCTCTCTCTGTCTCTGTCTCTGTCTCTCTCTCTCTCTCTCTCTCTCTCTCTCTCTCTCTCTCTCTCTCTCTCTCTCTCTGCAAATAACACTGCAACCGCATTGGACGAGCCGAGGCGTTCCGAGTGGGAGTCAGAGTTGCCATGGGAATGGTAGGTGTCATCAGGAATGTCCCTCTGTAGTTGAAAGATGACGTCAATACCCACCTCCCCTCTCTTTTTATGTGTGTCTGTGTGTTTTTTCCCCTTTATTATCTGACATCACTGAGTGATAGGGCCTCATTGTCCTTGTCTAAACCCAATAACATATAAACAAGCTGTTCTGTCCTGAATACATCTACATACAGGCAGTTGGCTCAAACGTCATTTTTATGCATCTCAGTCTAAGATAATATACCACTGTTCTCTGAGAAAAACAGCTGAGTTAAACTGAGCACCAAGAGAGTGGGCGAATATGTCCCAAATGGCACCCTATTCCCTATATAGTGCACTACTTTAAATTAAATGGCATCCTATTCCCTATATAGTGCACTACATTAAATTAAATGGCACCCTATTCCCTATATAGTGCACTACTTTAAATTAAATGGCATCCTATTCCCTATATAGTGCACTACTTTAAATTAAATGGCATCCTATTCCCTATATAGTGCACTACATTAAATTAAATGGCACCCTATTCCCTATATAGTGCACTACTTTAAATTAAATGGAATCCTATTCCCTATATAGTGCACTACTTTAAATTAAATGGCATCCTATTCCCTATATAGTGCACTACATTAAATTAAATGGCACCCTATTCCCTATATAGTGCACTACTTTAAATTAAATGGAATCCTATTCCCTATATAGTGCACTACTTTAAATTAAATGGAATCCTATTCCCTATATAGTGCACTACATTAAATTAAATGGAATCCTATTCCCTATATAGTGCACTACTTTACATTAAATGGCACCCTATTCCCTATTTAGTGCACTACATTAAATTAAATGGCACCCTATTCCCTATATAGTGCACTACATTAAATTAAATGGCACCCTATTCCCTATATAGTGCACTACTTAAAATTAAATGGCACCCTATTCCCTATATAGTGCACTACTTTAAATTAAATGGAATCCTATTCCCTATATAGTGCACTACTTTAAATTAAATGGAATCCTATTCCCTATATAGTGCACTACTTTTGACCAGAGCCCTATGGGGAAAGAATGTGTATCCTATTTTTCCCCAAACTTTCAGCACACGTCTTCCAACACGTGAGGTAGACATACAGTATGTCCTACTGACACGCTTCCTGACCACCCTACTACATTAGTCACTACTGACACGCTTCCTGACCACCCTACTACATTAGTCCTACTGACACGCTTCCTGACCACCCTACTACATTAGTCACTACTGACACGCTTCCTGACCATCCTACTACATTAGTCACTACTGACACGCTTCCTGACCACCCTACTACATTAGTCACTACTGACACGCTTCCTGACCACCCCACTACATTAGTCCTACTGACACGCTTCCTGACCATCCTACTACATTAGTCACTACTGACACGCTTCCTGACCACCCTACTACATTAGTCACTACTGACACACTTCCTGACCACCCCACTACATTAGTCCTACTGACACGCTTCCTGACCACCCTACTACATTAGTCACTACTGACACGCTTCCTGACCATCCTACTACATTAGTCACTACTGACACGCTTCCTGACCACCCCACTACATTAGTCACTACTGACACGCTTCCTGACCACCCCCACTACATTAGTCCTACTGACACGCTTCCTGACCACCCCTACTACATTAGTCCTAACTGACACCGCTTCCTGACCACCCTACTACATTAGTCAACTACTGACACGCTTCCTGACCACCCTACTACATTAGTCACTACTGACACACTTCCTGACCACCCTACTACATTAGTCCTACTGACACGCTTCCTGACCACCCTCCTACATTAGTCCTACTGACACGCTTCCTGACCACCTACTACATTAGTCACTACTGACACACTTCCTGACCACCCTACTACATTAGTCCTACTGACACGCTTCCTGACCACCCTCCTACATTAGTCCTACTGACACGCTTCCTGACCACCCTACTACATTAGTCACTACTGACACGCTTCCTGACCACCCTACTACATTAGTCCTACTGACACGCTTCCTGACCACCCTACTACATTAGTCACTATGACACCTTCCTGACCACATACTACATTAGTCACTACTGACACGCTTCCTGACCACCTACTACATTAGTCACTACTGACACGCTTCCTGACACCCCACTACATTAGTCACTACTGACACGCTTCCTGACCACCCCACTACATTAGTCACTACTGACACGCTTCTGACCACCCTACTACATTAGTCCTACTGACACGCTTCCTGACCACCCCACTACATTAGTCACTACTGACACGTTCCTGACCACCCTACTACATTAGTCCTACTGACACGCTTCCTGACCACCCACTACATTAGTCACTACTGACACGTTCTGACCACCCTACTACATTAGTCCTACTGACACGCTTCCTGACCACCCCACTACATTAGTCACTACTGACACGCTCCTGACCACCCTACTACATTAGTCACTACTGACACGCTTCCTGACACCCACTACATTAGTCACTACTGACCGCTTCCGACCACCCTATACATTAGTCTACTGACACGCTTCCTGACCACCCCACTACATTAGTCACTACGGACACGCTTCCTGACCACCCTACTACATTAGTCACTACTGACACGCTTCCTGGACCACCTACTACATTAGTCACTACTGACACGCTCCTGACCACCCTACTACATTAGTCACTACTGACACGCTCCTGACCACCCCACTAACATTAGTCACTACTGACACGCTTCCTGACACCCTACTACATTAGTCACTACTGACACGCTTCCTAACCACCCTACTAATTAGTCACTATGACACGCTCCTGACCACCCTACTACATACGTATACTGACACGCTTCCTGACCACCCTACTACATTAGTCACTACTGACACGCTTCCTGACCACCCTACTACATTAGTCACTACATGACACGCTCCTGACCACCCTACTACATTAGTCACTACTGACACGCTTCCTGACCACCCTACTACATTAGTCACTACTGACACGCTCCTGACCACCTACTACATTAGTCACTACTGACACGCTTCCTGACCACCCTACTACATAGTCACTACTGAATTCTGACCACCCCACTACATAGGTCACTACGACACGCTTCCTGACCACCCTACTACATTAGTCACACTGACACGCTTCTGACCACCCACTACATTAGTCCTACTGACAGCTCTGACCACCCCACTACATTAGTCACTACTGACATGCTTCCTGACCCCTACTACATTGTCTACTGACACGCTTTCCTGACCACCCTACTAATTAGTCCTACTGACACGCTCCTGACCACCCTACTACATTAGTCACTACTGACACGCTTCCTGACCACCCACTACATTAGTCACTACTGACACGCTTCCTGACCACCTACTACATTAGTCATACTGACACGCTTCTGACCACCCTACTACATTAGTCTACTGACACGCTTCCTGACCACCCCACTACATTAGTCACTACTGACACGCTTCCTGACCACCCTACTACATTAGTCCTACTGACACGCTTCCTGACCACCCTACACATTAGTCACTACTGACACGTTCATGACCATCCCACTACATTAGTCACTACTGACACGCTTCTGACCACCCTACTACATTAGTCCTACTGACACGCTTCCTGACCACCCTACACATTAGTCACTACTGACACGCTTCCTGACCACCCCCGACATAGTCACTACTGACAGCTTCCTGACCAACCTACTACATAGTCACTACTGACACGCTTCATGACCACCCTACTACATTAGTCACTACTGACACGCTTCCTGACCACCCTACTACATTAGTCACTACTGGACACGCTTCCTGACCACCCCACTACATTAGTCACTACTGACACGCTTCCTGACCACCCTACTACATTAGTCACTACTGACACGCTTCCTAACCACCCTACTACATTAGTCACTACTGACACGCTTCCTGACCACCCTACTACATTAGTCCTACTGACACGCTTCCTGACCACCCTACTACATTAGTCACTACTGACACGCTTCCTGACCACCCTACTACATTAGTCACTACTGACACGCTTCCTGACCACCCTACTACATTAGTCACTACTGACACGCTTCCTGACCACCCTACTACATTAGTCACTACTGACACGCTTCCTGACCACCCTACTACATTAGTCACTACTGACACGCTTCCTGACCACCCCACTACATTAGTCACTACTGACACGCTTCCTGACCACCCTACTACATTAGTCCTACTGACACGCTTCCTGAACACCCTACTACATTAGTCACTACTGACACGCTTCCTGACCACCCTACTACATTAGTCACTACTGACACGCTTCCTGACCACCCTACTACATAGTCCTACTGACACGCTTCCTGACCACCCCACTACATTAGTCACTACTGACACGCTTCCTGACCACCCTACTACATTAGTCACTACTGACACGCTTCCTGACCACCCTACTACATTAGTCCTACTGACACGCTTCCTGACCACCCCACTACATTAGTCACTACTGACATGCTTCCTGACCACCCTACTACATTAGTCACTACTGACACGCTTCCTGACCACCCTACTACATTAGTCACTACTGACACGCTTCCTGACCACCCCACTACATTAGTTCTACTGACACGCTTCCTGACCACCCTACTACATTAGTCACTACTGACACGCTTCCTGACCACCCTACTACATTAGTCCTACTGACTCGCTTCCTGACCACCCTACTACATTAGTCACTACTGACACGCTTCCTGACCACCCTACTACATTAGTCACTACTGACACGCTTCCTGACCACCCTACTACATTAGTCCTACTGACACGCTTCCTGACCACCCCACTACATTAGTCACTACTGAATTCCTGACCACCCCTACTACATTAGTCACTACTGACACGCTTCCTTGACCACCCAACTACATTAGTCACTACTGACACGCTTCCTGACCACCCCACTACATTAGTCCTATGACACGCTTCCTGACCACCCTACTACATTAGTCACTACTGACACGCTTCCTGACCACCCTACTACATTAGTCACCACTGACACGCTTCCTGACCACCCTAACTACATTAGTCCTACTGACCAGCTTCCTGACCACCCCTACTACATTAGTCACTACTGACACGCTTCCCTGACCACCCTACTACATTAGTCACTACTGGACACGCTTCCTGACCCACCCTACTACATTAGTCACTACTGACACGGCTTCCTGACCACCTACTACATTAGTCACTACTGACACGCTTCCTGACCACCCTACTACATTAGTCACTACTGACACGCTTCCTGACCACCCTACTACATTAGTCACTACTGACACGCTTCCTGACCACCCTACTACATTAGTCACTACTGACACGCTTCCTGACCACCCTACTACATTAGTCCTACTGACACGCTTCCTGACCACCCTACTACATTAGTCCTACTGACACGCTTCCTGACCACCCTACTACATTAGTCACTACTGACACGCTTCCTGACCACCCTACTACATTAGTCACTACTGGACACGCTTCCTGACCACCCCAACTACATTAGTCACTACTGACACGCTTCCTGACCACCCTACTACATTAGTCCTACTGACACGCTTCCTGACCACCCAACTACATTAGTCACTACTGACACGCTTCCTGACCACCCTACTACATTAGTCCTACTGACACGCTTCCTGACCACCCTCAACTACATTAGTCACTACTGACACGCTTCCTGACCACCCTACTACATTAGTCACTACTGACACGCTCCTGACCACCCCCTACTACATTTAGTCACTACTGACACGCTTCCTGACCACCCCTACTACATTTAGTCACTACTGACACGCTTCCTGACCACCCTACTACACTAGTCACTACTGACACGCTTCCTGACCACCCCCCACTACATTAGTCACTACTGACACGCTTCCTGACCACCCCACTACATTAGTCACTTACTGACACGCATTCCTGACCACCCTACTACATTAGTCACTACTGACACGCTTCCTGACCACCCTACTACAGTAGTCACTACTGACACGCTTCCTGACCACCCCACTACATTAGTCCACTACTGACCACGCTTCCTGACCACCCTACTACATTTAGTCCTACTGACACGCTTCCTGACCACCCTACTACATTAGTCACTACTGACACGCTTCCTGACCCACCCTACTACATTAGTCACTACTGACCGCTTCATGACCACCCTACTACCATTAGTCACTACTGACACGCTTCCTGACCACCCTACTACATTAGTCACTACTGACATGCTTCCTGACCACCCCACTACATTAGTCACTACTGACACGCTTCCTGACCACCCCACTACATTAGTCACTACTGACACGCTTCCTGACCACCCTACTACATTAGTCCCTACTGACACGCTTCCTGACCACCCTACTACATTAGTCACTACTGACACGCTTCCTGACCACCCTACTACATTAGTCCTACTGACACGCTTCCTGACCACCCTACTACATTAGTCACTACTGACACGCTTCCTGACCACCCTACTACATTAGTCACTACTGACACGCTTCCTGACCACCCTACTACATTAGTCACTACTGACACGCTTCCTGACCACCCCACTACATTAGTCACTACTGACACGCTTCCTGACCACCCTACTACATTAGTCACTACTGACACGCTTCCTGACCACCCCACTACATTAGTCACTACTGACACGCTTCCTGACCACCCCACTACATTAGTCACTACTGACACGCCTTCCTGACCACCCTACTACATAGTCACTACGACACGCTTCCTGACCACCCCACTACATTAGTCCACTACTGACACGCTTCCTGACCACCCTACTACATTAGTCACTACTGACATGCTTCCTGACCACCCTATACATTAGTCCTACTGGACACGCTTCCTGACCACCCTACTACATTAGTCCTACTGACACGCTTCCTGACCACCCCACTACATTACTCACTACTGAATTCCTGACCACCCTACTACATTAGTCACTACTGAATTCCTGACCACCCTACTACATTAGTCACTACTGAATTCCTGACCACCCCACTACATTAGTCACTACTGAATTCCTTACCACCCCACTACATTAGTCACTACTGAATTCCTTACCACCCCACTACATTAGTCACTACTGAATTCCTTACCACCCCACTACATTAGTCACTACTGAATTCCTGACCACCCTACTACATTAGTCACTACTGAATTCCTTACCACCCCACTACATTAGTCACTACTGAATTCCTTACCACCCCACTACATTAGTCACTACTGAATCCTTACCACCCCACTACATTAGTCACTACTGAATTCCTTACCACCCCACTACATTAGTCACTACTGAATTCCTGACCCACCCTACTACATTAGTCACTACTGAATTCCTGACCACCCCACTACATTAGTCACTACTGAATTCCTTACCACCCCACTACATTAGTCACTACTGAATTCCTGACCACCCTACTACATTAGTCACTACTGAATTCCTGACCACCCTACTACATTAGTCACTACGGAATTCCTTACCACCCCACTACATTAGTCACTACTGAATTCCTGACCACCCTACTACATTAGTCACTACTGAATTCCTTACCACCCTACTACATTAGTCACTACTGAATTCCTGACCACCCTACTACATTAGTCACTACTGAATTCCTTACCACCCCACTACATTAGTCACTACTGAATTCCTGACCACCCTACTACATTAGTCACTACTGAATTCCTGACCACCCCACTACATTAGTCACTACTGAATTCCTTACCACCCCACTACATTAGTCACTACTGAATTCCTTACCACCCCACTACATTAGTCACTACTGAAACATAGTGAAAACGTAGCAATAAAGATAGAACCCTGCACAGTAATGATCATTCTGATTAACCTTCTATTACAGATTCATTCTAAAATTTGTATTTTCATTCCAAATGAACAAAATAGTAAAAACATGATTTCCAAAACGTTTAAATTGAATCTAGAGAAATATCATCTCTATTGTTCTCTGTAACATGTTCAGTGTTGATTGTATGAATCTGAAACGTGTTGATTGATCGAAATACGTATGCATCTAATTAATTATGTTGTTAGGTGTTTATATGATCACTTTACATATCTTTATTTGGGCAAAATAACAGGCGTTTCGGTGTCAAGTATCGATCATAGAGATAAATAGAGGAATCTAGATGGATATAACTCGTTTTAGTATAGACATTGCCATGGAGGCCTTCCACCATTTAAAAGTAGCCAACTGGGTGGAGATTCCTATGGGTTGGGAGTGATCAACCAATGATCAGAGAGCATTGTCTTCTTCAAATTGGGTTGCCTATGGTTTGTAAACCAAAGGTAATATCCTGGAGCCAAGAACAAGATTTATACCAGGACATTGGTCCCAAGATCCAGACCCAGTGAGTTGAGACCATGACAAGTTAAAGACCGAATGTATGTGGTTTCAAGCCCAAGACAACTAGATCCAGAGTCCATGGGCCCTTTCTTCAACTGTAGAGTAAACTAGAGTACAGTAGAGTACAGTAGAATAGAGTAGAATAGAGTAGAGTACAGTAGAGGAGATTACAGTACAGTAGAGTAGAGTAGAGTAGAGTACAGCAGAGTACAGCAGAGTACAGTAGAGTACAGCAGAGTACAGTAGAGTACAGCAGAGTAGAGTAGAGTACAGTACAGTAGAGTACAGCAGAGTACAGCAGAGTACAGTAGAGTAGAGTACAGCAGAGTACAGCAGAGTACAGTAGAGTACAGCAGAGTAGAGTAGAGTACAGTAGAGTACAGCAGAGTACAGTAGAGTACAGTAGAGTACAGTAGAGTACAGCAGAGTACAGTAGAGTAGAGTATAGCAGAGTACAGTAGAGTACAGCAGAGTAGAGTAGAGTACAGTAGAGGAGATTACAGTACAGTAGAGTAGAGGAGATTACAGTACAGTAGAGTAGAGCAGAGTACAGCAGAGTACAGTAGAGTAGAGTACAGCAGAGTACAGTAGAGTACAGTAGAGTACAGCAGAGTACAGTAGAGTACAGCAGAGTACAGTAGAGTACAGCAGAGTACAGCAGAGTACAGTAGAGTACAGTAGAGTACAGTAGAGTAGAGTACAGCAGAGTACAGTAGAGTACAGCAGAGTAGAGTAGAGTACAGTAGAGTACAGCAGAGTACAGTAGAGTAGAGTAGAGTACAGTAGAGTACAGCAGAGTACAGCAGAGTACAGTAGAGTAGAGTAGAGTACAGTAGAGTACAGCAGAGTACAGTAGAGTAGAGTAGAGTAGATTACAGTACAGTAGGGTACAGTAGAGTAGAGTACAGCAGAGTACAGTAGAGTACAGTAGAGTACAGCAGAGTACAGTAGAGTACAGTAGAGTACAGCAGAGTACAGTAGAGTACAGCAGAGTACAGCAGAGTACAGTAGAGTACAGCAGAGTAGAGTAGAGTACAGTAGAGTACAGCAGAGTACAGTAGAGTACAGTAGAGCAGAGTACAGCAGAGTACAGTAGAGTACAGCAGAGTAGAGTAGAGTACAGTAGAGTACAGCAGAGTACAGTAGAATAGAGTAGAGTACAGTAGAGTACAGCAGTACAGTAGAGTACAGCAGAGTGCAGTAGAGTAGAGTACAGTAGAGTACAGCAGAGTACAGCAGAGTACAGTAGAGTACAGCAGAGTACAGCAGAGTACAGTAGAGTATAGTAGAGTACAGCAGAGTACAGCAGAGTACAGTAGAGTAGAGTAGAGTACAGCAGAGTACAGTAGAGTAGAGTAGATTACAGTACAGTAGGGTACAGTACAGTAGAGTAGAGTAGAGTAGATTACAGTACAGTAGGGTACAGCAGAGTACAGTAGAGTAGAGTATAGCAGAGTACAGCAGAGTACAGTAGAGTACAGCAGAGTAGAGTAGAGTACAGCAGAGTACAGTAGAGTACAGTAGAGTACAGCAGTACAGTAGAGTACAGCAGAGTACAGTAGAGTAGAGTACAGCAGAGTACAGCAGAGTACAGCAGAGTACAGTAGAGTACAGTAGAGTACAGCAGAGTACAGTAGATTAGAGTAGAGTAGATTACAGTACAGCAGAGTACAGTAGAGTAGAGTACAGTAGAGTACAGCAGAGTACAGCAGAGTACAGTAGAGTACAGCAGAGTACAGCAGAGTACAGTAGAGTAGAGTACAGCAGAGTACAGTAGAGTAGAGTACAGCAGAGTACAGCAGAGTACAGTAGAGTACAGCAGAGTACAGCAGAGTACAGTAGAGTAGAGTACAGTAGAGTACAGCAGAGTACAGTAGAGTACAGCAGAGTACAGTAGAGTACAGCAGAGTACAGTAGAGTACAGTACAGCAGAGGTACAGCAGAGTACAGCAGAGTACAGCAGGTACAGTAGAGTAGAGTAGAGTACAGTAGAGTACAGCAGTACAGTAGAGTACAGCAGAGTACAGTAGAGTAGAGTAGAGTACAGTAGAGTACAGCAGAGTACAGCAGAGTACAGTAGAGTAGAGTACAGTAGAGTACAGCAGAGTACAGTAGAGTAGAGTAGATTACAGTACAGTAGAGTACAGCAGAGTACAGCAGAGTACAGCAGAGTACAGTAGAGTACAGTAGAGTACAGTAGAGTAGATTACAGTACAGTAGGGTACAGTAGAGTAGAGTAGAGTAGAGTAGAATAGAATAGAGTAGGGTACAGTAGAGGACAGTACAGTAGAGTACAGCAGAGTACAGTAGAGTACAGTAGAGTACAGTAGAGTAGAGTACAGTACAGTAGGGTACAGTACAGTAGAGTAGAGTACAGTACAGCAGAGTACAGTAGATTAGAGTAGAGTAGATTACAGTACAGCAGAGTACAGTAGAGTAGAGTACAGTAGAGTACAGCAGAGTACAGTAGAGTACAGTAGAGTACAGCAGAGTACAGCAGAGTACAGTAGAGTAGAGTACAGCAGAGTACAGTAGAGTAGAGTACAGCAGAGTACAGCAGAGTACAGTAGAGTACAGCAGAGTACAGCAGAGTACAGTAGAGTAGAGTACAGTAGAGTACAGCAGAGTACAGTAGAGTACAGTAGAGTACAGTAGAGTACAGCAGAGTACAGCAGAGTACAGTACAGCAGAGTACAGCAGAGTACAGCATAGTACAGTAGAGTAGAGTAGAGTACAGTAGAGTACAGCAGTACAGTAGAGTACAGCAGAGTACAGTAGAGTAGAGTAGAGTACAGTAGAGTACAGCAGAGTACAGCAGAGTACAGTAGAGTAGAGTACAGTAGAGTACAGCAGAGTACAGTAGAGTAGAGTAGATTACAGTACAGTAGAGTAGAGTAGAGTAGAGTAGAGTACAGTACAGTAGAGTAGAATAGAATAGAGTAGGGTACAGTAGAGGACAGTACAGTAGAGTACAGCAGAGTACAGTAGAGTACAGTAGAGTACAGTAGAGTAGAGTAGAGTAGAGTACAGTACAGTAGGGTACAGTACAGTAGAGTAGAGTAGAGTAGAGTACAGTACAGCAGAGTACAGTACAGTAGAGTACAGTACAGCAGAGTACAGTAGAGGACAGTACAGTAGAGTACAGCAGAGTACAGTAGAGTAGAGTAGAGTACAGTAGAGTACAGCAGAGTACAGTAGAGTACAGTAGAGTAGAGTAGAGTACAGTAGAGTAGAGTAGAGTAGAGTAGAGTAGAGTAGAGTACAGTAGAGTAGAGTAGAGTAGAGTAGAGTAGAATAGAGTACAGTACATTTACATTGTAGTCATTTAGCAGACGCTCTTATCCAGAGCGACTTCCAATTAGTGAACTAACTTCATAGGGTGGTGGTGAGCTTGATGCTCCTTTTCCAATAAATATCAAGGGTCTTATTCTGGTGACGTGATCATCGATGCTCGGCTGCCGTTTGACAAATAAAAATAATCTGGCTCTTTTGTCCATAATAATCTCTTCATGTAGGCTGTACGTGAGCCCTAGCCAACAGCGCACAGATACCGTATCTAGAGCGCACATGCCGATACTGGAATGGCCACACATGCTTATAACGCAAATTGTTTTGTGAGAAAACTATTAGTAGATTTGAAAATGCGATGTAAACTTTTATTTTTGATTAGGTACATGGGAATTTAACCGCAAAATGTATTTTTATGTGCACTGCATCATCACGCACAGCATTGTATCTGAAACACGTCAATTTGATGGAATCATCTCTGGTGGGAAAACGAGCATATTGTTTTTATGCGGATTTTAGAATATTCGCATGAAAAATCTGGTCGCCAATCGGACGGAAACCTAGCTGTACTTGGGAGCACCAACAGTGTGCAGGCCTTCCTGTTCCTCATAACCTAGCTATACTTAACATGTTTTAGGATCAGAATCTTGTAGAATTGATACAACTCTATTAAATATTGAAATGATAAGCCCTTTATAGCCTTTCTGAGAGGAGCCCTGTGTTCAACCTTCCATGGCTACAAAACTGTAAAAGCAATTTGTTAAATAAATTGCTTTAGAAATATATTTTGATTGATTGATTACTTGATCGATTGCTTGATTACTTGCTTGATTGATTGACTAACCTGGAGTGGTATGTGTGATGCCAGGGAGGGTCTATGGTGCCCTGGGATATTTGCATCATGCTGGGGTCTGGCTGGCCCTCGCCTAGTTTGGTGGAGTGCCACGAGTGAGGTCTAGAAAACGGGGCTCGCTGCGGCTGTTAGAACATAGAACAGAAAGTGAGGTCTAGAACGGGCTCGCTGCGGCTGTAGAACATAGAACAGAAAGTGAGGTCTAGAAACGGGGCTCGCTGCGGCTGTAGAAACATAGAACAGAAAGTGAGGTCTAGAAACGGGCTCGCTGCGGCTGTAGAACATAGAACAGAAAGTGAGGTCTAGAAACGGGCTCGCTGCGGCTGTAGAACATAGAACAGAAAGTGAGGTCTAGAAACGG